TGTCGCTGCAGTCAGGATATGAACCTCTGATCTTACTATATAATTATGTGTATTTCTCTATTCATAACGGAAATGGCTCTGTGTTCAACAATGGCATTACAGCACGTCCAAAGCTTATCAGATAAATACAACACAGTTGAGGGTTATTGTTAGCATAACTCTTGATATAAAATCTCCTCCAGTGTTGCATTGGCCTATGAAACATCAAAGCAACAAAATTGACATGAGCGCAGCGTTACAAAATTGTTAAGTAGTCTAGGCTACTGGAGTGTTTGCAAAATGGGGCACCATGTATAAACATTACTGTACAGGCGAGCGGAATATACTTATATTAAAATTATGAATACAAAACAGTAGCTGTTTTGAAAATACACTTAAATACAAATGTTTACTGTAAATAAATAAATCACCGTACATACAATTATAAAAACTACGATTTTAACGTCGGTAAAATGTTTTAACGGCGACAGGTCACTAGCCTTCCTCACCTCTATAAAAGTGTTTTACATCATCCCTTCATTCTCTCAGCTTAAATTTTTCTATTAAGTAGCTGATGCATTACGCATTACTCGGTCTGTCAGATCGGTAGTTTAGAGTTATTCTCGTACTTAAATTTATCTCAGAAGTGTTGAGCGCGTCTGTACTGTGGCATCCTGTATTAAGTCTCTTCCTCCGTATCGTAAATAAACACTAGTTTATTGCTTACTCCAATCTAAACGGCTGCTATTTGCTTTGACTCAGGATTGACTCATCTCGGCGTAATTAATAAAATGGACTCTGGCGCGTGCGGTTAGTCCACAATATTGTCTTTTATGAGGAATCCAGCTATGGATTTACTGACTTTTTGCTACCTATTCGTCAGTATGGGAAAAGAACAATGTGTCGTTTTAATATTTTCCTTTGTGTTTTTAGGGTTCCGTACCAGAAAAGAGAAATAGAACTCAAATAGGATCACTCCGTTGTGTGTTTAACCGTCTTTCATAGCCGATTTTGTTTATTTTTAAAAGCCTATAACACTGAATAGATTGAATTGAAAGATTCACATATCCGAGTCGATGATTTTAAGACGACGACCTCTTTTAGTAAGTAGGTTGGAAGGAAATGACAATTGAGCATTACCCCCTTTATCTCCGAAAGTAATGGACTTAAAATTTTGATAATAATATATAAAATGAATCTATACCCATGGCTAAAAACAAGTCTATAAAATTTCATATATGTGCTAAACCGCCTTCGCTTAGATTTGTCTTGCTCTTGGTTCGACCTGTATTAAAAATAATTTCGAGTTGATTTTGAATTTTTCTTTATGAAGATTTTCTCGTTTATAAGGTAGTGGGATCAGTAGACATCCATATGATTTTATCTAATAAATCTCTGCGTAAATCTCTTCTCGTATGCTAAATTCTAGCTTGTAGATCTATATCAATGTCAAACTTTAGGATATGAGCAAATAAAGAAAAATATTGAAAAAGTAAGATCCTTCTAGTGATGCACGGAACGTTAGTATGCGCGGATCATCCGTGAAATGTGCAAGGCCGAATGTTAAATCATATATTTGTAACGTTCCGCAACCGACGATACGTTATATATACTGCGACCCTTAACAAAGAACTAAATAGACGCACAAAATCGTTTGTAATGCATGCTGAAAATAACCAATGACGATGTCTTGCGACGCATAACTAAACAACTCTGGAACATCAACAAGAAAACAAAAACATTTGTTGCGCTCATTGTTTTCAAGTATGATTGGCATGTGATTTCGCATCTAATCTTAAGTTGAAGAAAATAGCCAGAGAGTTGTGGCGTTCTCGTAATAAAATACTTTTTAGAAATGTCCTGAGAAGTACGACAGTTGAAAATATGCCTTTTTATTGATATTTGACTGTTATGTATAACCTGTTGACTGCACTATGAAAGTGCTCAGAATGCCAAAAAAGGTGGTTTTCGTGAAGCTGCCTACTGTCATTCGGTAGATGTCATAAGAAGTAGATATAGACTATATATTTATTCATCGATAATATACCAAAATTCATTGATATTGTATTTGTGAAACAAAGGATTTGATAAGCGATTTGATTACGAAGTATTACGACGTTTATTAGCTACTTTTATATGGCGCCTGATAAACGTATGGCAACAGTTTTGTTTTGTTATGATCAGTGGCATACGACTACGCTGTCCTTTGGCCATGGCTATTATAATATAGCTACAGCTATAAAATAAATTTTTATAAACTTTTTTAGGCGTGATTTAGCTTTGGTCGGGTTTTAGTTTTTGAACTTATTTTTATTTCTTATCAATATTTTAAACCATATAATAGATCGATTTACCTCTTCATCGCTTAATTATTTTCTACAAGGACTTTTAAATTATTTTGAATTCTGTTTTATAATTTCTGCCCATGATAACGTTATATGATACGCCTCTGCTACTATAAAATATATATTTTATTGCGATTTTTATCTACACTAATATTATATTATATATAAAGAATGTTTTAACTTGCTTGTGGTTTGATTGTTGGGTTTAATCTTTAGAAATACTGCTCCAATCATGAAAATCCTTCCACCTAAAGGAAACTTCACAACGGGTGACATGGCTATAATTTACGCAAGCAAACTCGCGGGAAAACAGCTGGTCGATTTATAATAGATAATTAATACTCGCTTTCTGAATTGAGAATTTAAAGTTAAGAACGTATCAAAATGTACTTAAAAGTCACTTAAACAGGTTTTACTTTATGATTTTTATTTTTTTATGATCAGTTGATAGCAATTTGATAAAACTTTTTGAATTGTGAAACATAAAAAACTGAATTATTGCAAATAATCAGATTTTATACATTTCTCAATTCAGAAACCGGCTAGAGAGATGAATATGTATGTTTTTTTTCTGACATCGTCCATACTTTTTATGGTGTTCATCGGTGATGATAAAACGACGACGATCTATAGATATGATTCGTGGACTAATTGGCTAATTGTCTAATTTTAAAGTATATCACAATCCCTTTCAAAGGTTGTGATTGTGACCTATGCAATTATGTAACATTTAAAGTTACAATCGGTATCGGGGCCAATGATAATTCGAATGATCAAGAAACTTAATAAAAACTAAATTAAACTTGCGAAAGATTACAGTTAGGATTCAACTACTTCGTTTGACATCTCTCAACATTTTTCAAAGATACAGAGTCAAACTTCATGATGCCTAAATCACAGAAGTCGATAACGAGCAAATTGAACCTTATGTCTAATGCTTTCCTGAGACAATCCCATTTAACGTCAAATTAAGGATAACAATTCAAATAGTAGGATCGCGATGTTTGTGAATATCTTTCAAACGTCATATTAAAAGGGACTGTAATAGATTTTAAGATTTAACAATTAGGACTCTCATTCTATACTCATAAATGCAGGGTATTAAGAGCGAACATCACCTTATCCTAAATTACTGATTTTTGATATGATTTAACTAAAGTAATTGATTTTCTTAAAAGTTCTGATTTAATTCCATAAATATTTATTCAAAATTTCCTGAATTTTATTATCGAATCCTACCTTTCATCCTAAAAATCCAGTGTAGAGAATTTTCTATATAGCTACCGAATCTAACATCACATATGAGACTTGCATACATATGGCGTATGCACGAGAGGTTTATCTCATACATAAAAAAATATTCACAATGTTTAACAATGACTGAACATGACTCAATGCAATCTTTATTAAAGTTATCAGTAATTACTTACTAACAATGATACCCATGCCATTACATAAACTATATTCGTTTTTCTCTTTGTTTCTGAGAATATACTGCTTAATTAACAAGTTTGATAAAAAAAACTAGCATGAAGACAATATATTAAAACAAGAAGTTGTTACCGTTTTCGGTCTACGGTTCCACCGTTAAGCTACTTTCGCAAAGGCCAGTCATTAGATGGGTGACTAAAAATTAAATATCTTGAACTTGATCATGCTTCAGTAGACACGATAAGCCGTAGCTCATATAAAACATGATCATCTAAAGCAAGGGAAGATTAATTTATATAAACAAGTAAATTTATTTGTTTACTTTGTACTGCACCCTATAGAACCCATCACTTATTTCAATCAATCTAGTCCAATCCACAATTGCCTGGAAGTAATTGCGTTTTAGCGATTAGGCCGCCAATTGTACTGTTTATGCTTGTATTCTTACCAGAATAATTATTAATGATGGGCATTAGAGAGTAACTTTAAACATTTAAGGCAATTGCAACAATGTAGAAATATTGGAAACTCAATAAATATAAGATATATGGTATAAATATCATATTAACAATTATTCTAATGTCAATGACTGTCTTCTGTGTCTTGAATGTCATTAAAGTATATAATAATGTGTTCATTCATTCAAATACTTTAATTAATGTATTGTATCCAAATTTAATGTAAAAATCCAAGTTTATAAACAAATAAATGATATGGAAAAAATCCCATAAAATAAAATAATATAATAACTTATAAAATGCACTCTATGGCATAAAATTAACTAGTACTATTACCACACCCTTTAGGTTTACATCTCACTAACATTAGGCATATTATTATTCACAGTTATATGTTTACACCAGGCCAAGCTGCCAAATTATGTATTACATTGCCATCCATTAAAGTAATGGATGTATTATTCAGATTTCCAATAGCACCTCTTGTTTGTAAATAGATATATGTAGTATTCCAGTAATGATAGCCTTGTATAAAACAATTATTGTCCATCCATAAAGTTTTTTTCAATTTCACATGTTGCCTGATAGAAATTACCACCTTTGTGAACTTTTTTCTTTTAATTTTATAACTTTTCTGTAATTATTTCTGCCATACAAAAGCTCAAAGTCAAAATGCTTTGACTTTTTGTTGGAGGAAAGGCCTTTGATCCAGCAGTGAGTACTAAAACGCAACCCCCCACTACAGTTTACAATATAATTAAGCAAGTGATCATGACTTTATACACACCTTTAAACATTTAAGACAGAAGGTGTGCTGGCAGGGCAGGACGCGAGAAGACGTGTCCAGCCGCTCCAGACACACAGAACACTCGAGTAGGTCATTCAGCAGACCTTCATCCATCCCTGGTGAGCCTGAAATAATATCAAAGGTATTTGATAATATAATATACATTTCAGCTTTAAACAAAATATCTATCACAATCACCAGACACTGAACAAATGGATAGTCACAGGTAAATACATTGATTGAATCATTGAATGATCTATAAGGCAAACCTATAAAATGAACACTTGAATGATCTGTAAGGCAAACAATCAAAATTAACCCTTGTATGATCTATCAGGCACATCGTCAAAATTAACCTTTGAATAATCTATAAGGCAGACAGTCAAAATAAACCCTTGAATGGTCCATACTAAAAGTTCTTTTAAATTTGTTCCTTTCTTATACAACTTTCCTTTAACAGACTGGTAATTATTATCAACAAAATGTATTCTAAAGCAACTGAAGAAAATGTACTATGTTTTACATTCTCTGGTAATATAATAACACAACAATTTCTCACCATCCAATTTTTAAGATAGTTGCGATTAATACAGAAAAAACTTTTAATGTGATGTTTTATATATGGATTATCAATTTTCCAGAAATAGATGAATTATAAATACTCCCAACCCGATAAATGCACCTTTAAATAATAATATAGATATCACTTGAAATGTCAAAAGTCATAACCTCTTCATTACTTAGTGCCTCTCTCTGATAAATAACAGTCAGTAGTTACATATAAATAACATAGTAATAGGTGATTCTATTGCGGTTCAATACAAAATAAGATTAATGTTAAGGCTGCTCTACATATATTTTATAACCTCCAAATGTTTTGTCAACTATTACTGATTTACAAAAGTGTGTAAAAATAATGTAACACCATAAATCACAATATTTACACAAATCAGAGCAACAGCTGATATGTGAAAGAATAATAGGCTATTGGAAACACTAGTTTGACATTTGACATGCCCAAGGTTGGCTAGGTATACTGAAAAGTTCTGGCCAAAAGCATGCCTATCTACAACATTAACAATAAGCTCTTGCCGTTCTAAAAAGTCGTAGTATTAATCATTTAAAAATAAAATTCATATTAATATTAACATCTCTCTGATAGATTATAAGAAAAATAATATTATTCAAATTATAAAAATAGAGTAGGAAACACGACACTGCTAACAATACTCATGGAACTTCTCAACGTTCATGGTTTACAAAGTGTAGGACACAGCCAACAGAAGATTTGACCACCAAATATAATACGTTAGAACTCAAAATGTTGATGACTCACCGAATGTTTTAAATTCCAATAACGTTAGCGGGAAGCCTGTCCATTACTGTTTAGCACAATGAAACAGAATCCACGGGATACCACCCCGATGCAATAATTCAATAATATTTATACCAACTATTTAAAACTCCGTATACATTGTGATGAATGCAACCTTTTACTAAAATGCTACCCGCACACTTTTTTATCACCGAAATACACTTGTTCACATAAAAAGTAACGCAATTTCACACACAAATGCCATTCTAGAGAAGACCGACGGACAGACAGAGGGAGGAGCGGGGAGCAGGGACAGGGATATACGGGGAGGGCATGCAGGGCAGGTGAGGTACGGGCGGAGTAGCAGTCAAGCTATTTTTTTTTCAAAGCTTTTATCGGCCTCGGCTCCTATGACCTTAAGCTCTCTTTATTTTAAGATAATTTATATATTTAAAAGCGATTCCTTTATATATCTATATAAATATCGATATATATAAATATATATATTTGTGAGATTTGCAATAAATCTTGTAACAGGTTGGGTACATCTTTCACAATATTAGATGCATAGCAAAATTCGGTACAAGAACAACGCCAATAATTAAAAAGAAGAAGAATAATGTCCTTGCCTTAGATTATAAGGTCCTAGTCGCAATCGGTTCATCATCATTATCACTTCAGCCGAGAGACGCCCACTGCTGGCCATAGGTCTCCCCCAAAAATCTCCAAAGCGATCGGTCCTGCGCCTCCCGCATTCAATCCACTTTTCACTGCACTTTTTGTTGAAAACGAGGTTTTACTACCGCGCATATTAGACAGTTTAAGGTTATATTTTTTCTAAAGAGTAGACAAGATTTTTGCTCTTGACCCAGTGCAACATTCTTGTAACTCCCAGGTGGCATAAAGTTATGTAAATAGCATGGAGTTGCTTTTTAGTTTTTGAGGGGCTTGCAGAAGATCAGTCTGACAGTTCTTCTTGTGATGAATGTACCTGCGATAGCATAATCTGAGGCGTCTGTTTCGACTACAAACGGTATCTTGTCGTTAATTGCATTCACTGCTGACGAGGCTACTTCGTGTTCTTATGTTTCAAATGCCTTTATAGCTTCTGAATCCAACGTGAACGGTTCTTGTGAAATGAGAGGCTGTATCTTGAGAGATTACTTTCGCACCCATATGGAATAGTGAGCGTCCCAGTGTCGGCGAAGACATGCAACATCTGAAGGCAGTGGAAAATTCAAATATTCAATTCCTTCCGCCTCAAATTCTGTATACACTTTTTCTTTGCTTAGAGTTAGAATCTGGTGGTAAGCACTTTTCAGATCAATTTTGCTATATATTTCGCAACTTTAGCTACCACATCTTCAATACATAGTAGCGGATAAGCATCAAGTTGTGTAAACTTGTTCACAGTTTGCGTATAATCTACACACCTTCTATTATGGTTTTCATTACTTGTTAAACTTGTGCCCTCCACGGAGATGAACTAGATTCTATTATTCCGTCGGCGAGTAGCTTTTTTATCTCATCGCTAATGCATATCATATATATCACTCTTTGAGAATCTTTGTGACTTAACTGTGATCGGTTTACAGTCAGACGAAAGATTTGGAAAGGCAGACTGATATGATACTAGCGCAAGTTAGGGCACATAATTTTAACGAAGCTTAAGATCCACCGAATAACATTTCTAGTGTCTTATATTTCTTAAGAACATCATGTCCAATTATGACATCTGTGCATAAATTTTCCATTTTTAATAGATTAATTTCAAATTTATGTCCTTGTTAATCTATGTTGTCAGAACATGACGCGTCTATTATTGTTTTAAGATTTGAAGCTGTTATTCTGATGTGCTGGACGCAACGTTTAGTTGTTATTTTGTATTTTTATTTGTTTTACTAGACGCTTATCAATGAAACTGTTTGTGCTCCCGGTGTAAATTAATGCTTTAGTGGCAAATAATCCATTTGTCATGATCGATAGCTATAGCTTTGCTTATGTCCGTTGTAGCAGTGATAATTCACGAAAGTGATTGCGGACATCCTGCTTTCTCAGCTTCATGAGTATCAGTTTAGGCGGCGGACGCTTTCTGATGAAATTGTGCGCCACTTTGCACACTTTTGCAAAATGTCCTCTTTTTCCGCATTTAAGACATGCTGAGCCGAAAGCTGGGCAGTGCGTCGTTGTTGTTTTAATCAAAATCAAATGTTTTTATCAATTTAATTTGACGTTGCGTTGACTGAGAAACAAGTACTAGATTGCTGGTAATCATTCTTGTGTATACGTGCCATCTCTAGAGCACGCGCTTGTTTAAAAGCATTGTCTAAAGTCAGTACGCTATTTTCCTAGTCTCTGGCGGACTGAGGGCGATGAAAGACCGGTTATGAATGCATCTCTAATAAATGCATTTTTATTTTGATCAGCAGATACTTGTTTGAAGTTGCAATCTTTCGAAAGTAGTTTCAGGGCTTGTAAATATTGATCTACGGACTCAACACTTTGTTGAGAACGTTTAACTAATTTGTATCTGAAGCCAACCTCGTGAGATGGCTTCAAGAATAATGTGTTGAGCTGCTTGATAGCCGAGTCATAGTCAATTGATTCTTATAGATATGTAAATATTGTAGGAGATAAATGATTTGTCAATAGCTGAAATTTCGATTCTTCATTTAGTGGTTTTTCTTTGGTAGAGATGGATGTCAAAAAAATTTCAAATGTGTTTTTCCAATGTGTCCACTGAGGGCACTGATCTTCACTAGAGGACGGAACTTTGTCAAATCTTTCTGGTCGTAGATATTTATCCATTTCTTTTTGTTGAATAAATTGTAGTATAATAAACCTTTATAGATTATTTAATGAACTGAAAAATTAATAAGCTTTTTTTTGTTATGGCCTTGTTCCGTCATACACAGAAATTATGCCAACATCCCGTAGGGAGAGTTATTCTATTCTATTTTTATTGATGGCAAATAGAGCCGGTGTCGACTATTCTGCCAATGTCGGAAGTAGATTGGACAAGCAAGTATATTAATATGGACACAAAGGACTTTTTGAGTTAGTACTGGACTGAAACAAACAAAAAATAAAAATACATAAATATTATAATTGTTAGAACATTAAATATATACACATAACCACATGTCAGAACTCATAATTTGATGTTATTGTGACAGATGAAAAGGCTTTATTCCGCAACATTTATGACAACCGATGATTAAATAGTCATGCTTTTTGGTCGAAGCTACTTTTTGGTATAAACCAAAGAGTTTATATCACCACAATGTGAACATTGTGTTTAAAATAGTTTTGCTTTTTTTAACTTATAAATTATTAGAAATAGTGAGAGAGAACGAAAGTATAAATACCGTAAGGAATCGATTCTCATTTTGCGTATCCCTAGCACTAAAAAAATTATAGGTGTTTTTGGTACCTACCTATGTTTTTCTCATAGAGAACTGTATACCTCATAATGTCACTCACTGCCAATAAGTCTGTGACTGTCATCAACTGAGAAATGAGGGTGAAGAAGAAAATCAAGAAAAACGCATGTAATATACGGAAAATACTGAATCAATAAAATTGAACTCTTAATTTACTCGTAAATAAAAGACACACAAAATGTCTCGAGATAAAAGTGTTTGGTTTGCTGAAGAAATCCTTTTAGATGCTAAACTAATCAATTTCCAATTAGAGACTGGAGAATGGGATGCCGTTGAAGAAATGTTACGTGCAGAGGCACAGCTTTCCCGGGACACAGAAACAGGGAGATTACGGCCGTAAGTCTCAAATTAAACAATCCGTACTTTCATAAACCCCCTTCAATTATTTAAAAAACATTCTTTCATTTGCAGTAAAAAAGCCTCTGAATACACATTGCGTCTTATAGCTGAAGTGTTACATATTATGCGACTAGACGTAGAACAGGCTTCCTACAACCGCAGCACTCTTGCTGTTGCTGAACAATGTCTACGATTAGTAAGGTCTTGTGCTGCTGCTGGTACTAAAATGCAGACATATATTTCTAAAGAACTCTCAATACTTGATTCCATGCTGATACTAGCCACAGAGTTCCAACACCCTAATGTTGAGTTTTTAAATGAAGAATTACAGAAGAAATATGAAGCTTGTATGACTGTTCTCGTTCAAACTTTAGGTAATCTAGTTGTGAACAACCCGTTTAACCAAATCATGATTTGGAACAAGTTTGATGCTATTATACTCAATAGTTTAATTGGGCAAAACGATAAAATCGCAACTGCTGCAGCCATGGTAGTATATAATATATTGTTGGGTCAACCTAATGTTCTACCAGATGATGTTTCCTTGCTTAATTCTTTAGCATTTATGTACAGTAATGGCAACACTGAATATCCACATTTAATTATAGAATATCTAATTGGTGTTGAAAATACTTATATTGAAAGATTATATTCTAAGCTGGATCCTGAATGCAGGATTCTTGTATTGAACCTTGCATATAATATTCTAATGTCAACGGAGACTCAAGATATAAATGTGTCAGTTAATTTCGTCAAATTTATGGCACATGAATTCAAAAGCAAATCTGACTGTATATTAAAAACTGTTGATAAATATGTGAACAGTATAGAGCCACAGGAAGTGGTATTTTTACTGGAAATTATAGCTACAGCTTCCAGCATGGATGCATATATGGACTGCTTGCAAAGCGACACTTCCCTTTTCATAAATTGTGCATGTAAGTATTCATGACAAAAACATTACATACTTATTTTTAAAATAAATTATATTTAATTAGAAAACATTTTTCTCCACAGTTTTACTTAAAGCCATCCATAAACTGGGCAAAGAAAGCAGCAACTTTTTCTCTTCCATGAATAAACTTTATGCTGCTACAGGAAAATACCTAGTGAATGATGAAAATATATTCAATTCCAGCCAATCTCCTGAAAGTAAGCATTTTAGTGCATATAACCAAACACACTGTAATGTATTACCCTTTACTTTGTTTATGAGATATGTCACATCTTCTAGTCGTACAGTGACTAGGAGAGGACAAAGTTGTTTCTGATAAATATATATACTTTTTAACATCCATTTATTATACCCATAACAGTTAACATAAAAACATGTTTTACCAAATCAATTTGTGTAAATTTTACCTATTTGAAATTAATTGGTATATATATACTATATTTGATATTAATAGGCTGAAGAAATATCAACCTTTTTCACTTTATAATATATTTTTTATTTTTTAGATCCTCTAACCAAAAATGACTCTGCAGATAACATGCTTTCCTGTAATGAAACCACATCAGAATGCACAGAGTCAGAAAGCAGTGAACAATACTTTGAATGTAGTGATAACATGCCAGTAATGGACAGGTTAGACAATATAAACTCTTTTGATAATCTACATCAATCTTTTAAATTAACAGAAACAGTGCTTAATGCCAAAAATGGAAAAAATAATGATGATCCCAATGTCAAAATTGATAATGACTTAACTAAGGTAGCTTACAAAAGGAGCAGCTCTGTGCCAAAAGCTGATGATCGCATACAGCATTTGCCAACAAGAAGAATTAGTCTGGAACATAAAATAGATATAAGTGATGATACCGAACCACCACTAATAATAGATTCGTCTTCACCGAATGGTAGTATGAATACTATTGCGGAAGTTATACCTGTAGCATTGCAGCCTTGGTTAGATTTGCAGGGAACTAGCACCCCTAACTCACAGGAAAATTCCCCAAGTGATCCTCCCACAGAAATTCATCTTCCTAAGGAGGAAGTTAAAGCCGAAATCAAAGCGTCGCCTAGTGAGATATCTCCACCTTTAGCTGATTTACCTCTTGAAACAGAAACAAAGAAATCACCAGACACACCGAAAGAGGTAAAAAAAAGTCAAAATCTGTCAACTGACTTTGATCTCAGTGAGCAGTTGCAGAAGATATTGGGTATATCTTCAGAGAAAACACGAGGTGATAGTTCAAATGTTGATAAAAAGAATGAACTAACAAAAGAAGTAAAAATAGCTGATGATAATCTAGTTAATAAAGTACCATCTGTTAAAATCGATTCACCTGAAAGTCATAAAACTAGGTAAAACAATGTTTTTATGTCTTTAGTATTAAATAGCTTACATTAAAATTGTTTATTACTATGATCAGTTCTCAATAAATTTTCTATCATATATTAGAATGAAACAAATAAAATTATATTAGCGAATAATACAACACCTTAAAGCACTTAACCTTTTCTAAATACAAAATCTTATTCTGGATGGGAACCTGCATCTCAACCAAATAAGTTATACCTATATGTATATTTTCTTGATTTAACTGTTTACTTTCTTAATAAATAAAATTAAATAATTTACTTATAACTACTAACTATTTGGGTTTGATCCTGCTTGCAGACTAGGAGCAATAGATATGACGACCCCTAAAAAAGCGATGACCAGTGTAGAGACAGTGGAGAGACATGTGGCCTTTGGTTTCAAGGCTGGACTAGTGCGTACACTAGCTAACCTTTGTTGGAAGAATCAGGAGAATAAGCGACAGGTACTATTGAGATGTTGATAAAAAAATTACACTTAAAAAACCATGTGAAATTAAAAAACTGGCACATATTTGACAAATATAAGCAATTAAATCTTGCATACTTGAAGGATCTGTCTAGATTACTTTGATGGACTAATGGACACACTCATGAGTGATACGCTTGAAATGTTTAATACTTTCTATTTTTTTAATATGCCATTCATAGAATTATACAGCTCATTGATAGAGCTCAGTTTTATATATATTTTTTTATATTTATTTTCAGATGAGAGAATTAGATGTGATCCAAGTTTTACTGGACTGTTGTAATATCGACGCTCGAAATCCCTGTATCCTTTTCGATTAGAACTCACTGGCGCAACTTCGCCTTCGTACATTATAGTCTAACACCCGGTTTCTGAATTGAGAATTCAAAGTAAAACATGTCTTAATCTGTACTTAAAGAGATTTTCTTTACTGATTTTTGTTTTTATAATGATCAGTTGATAGCTGTTTCATAAAACTAGGACATTTTTCCTTGTGCAACGTAAAAACTCAAGTTATTGGGAATAATCAGTTAAGATTTTCTACTTTTCGCAATTCAGAAACCGGCCGTTAATGACCTGCTCATGATATACATAACTTGCCGTTGGTGAATTAATTTTTCAATTGGGCCTAGTAGTTTCAGAGCCTATGCAATGACAAACAAAAAGGAATATGCACTTTTTTTTTAATATATTTATTTAGGAAAACAAACAGTCGTTTACAATTTCAATACAATCAATACTTATTTAACTAATAGACCTGACAGTTTCATTATTTAATACATACTAACAAAATTTATTCAGTTGCTAACTATTAACAATAGTGATGACAACGAATAAACTTAACCCACACATCAAACAAACAGCTTCTCTACAATAATCTCAAAAACGCACTCTGATTATTCAATTTAAATATAATATCTCTCACTTTTTTTTGTTTCATATCATTGTTTCACTGTAAAAAATGCCCGACGTCGGAAATTATGGAATTGAGTAACAGCTATACCAAGCAATTTAAACCAAAGAACAGAAAAAACAGTAGAAGTTGCAAGTAAGGGCGTTAATATGTGCGGTGGATTGGCATATGCCATACGAAACTACGCTCAATCGTCTTTGAGATACACTAGCGGTTTTATTGATTTAAAAAATTGATATATGACTTATTGCACAATGTAAAAAACGATAGTGCAAACAATAATGTATCCAAATACATTAGGTGAAATCAACTTTGTATCTCGGCTACGTCAGGTTCAATTCCAAACTATATTTTTTTATTTTCTCGAAGCTTCCGTTGCACCATTCTACAGAGTATTTTGAGCGCTATTCGATTAATACATGTTTTTTTATCGACAGAGTAATGCTTTATATAGTATATAATGACGCTAATATTAGGTTGGGGAAAAAGTCTTATCGCATATAATATGCATAAACTTGTAATAAAATCTTACTGGCTATAACATTTGTATATGGCTGGTTTCGGTATCATTAAAAAGCTGACTGGTTTCGGTAATAGATTTTAAATAATGAATTCAAATTAGGAATATATGTGATTTTCATTTGTTTTCGTACTGTCAAAATGAGTGAATATATTGAAGAAATTAATACATTTAAAATTTTTATTACAAAAGAGGTAAAAATGCAACGCAATCTGCGATTGTGACGTTTATTACCTAGTGCAGTTTCTGTGAGTGTAGCACAAACTTGGTTTATTATTAGACACGTCATACCCGTACATTATTGCGTTTTAAAACGGCGTAAACTTTATTATGGTAGCGTCACTTTATAATACAACCACAATGGACGCGAAAAAAACAGGTTGTCAGTGTTGTGCGCAGAAATAACCCATCTAAAATTTTTAATGCATCAGTGGTCGCTTCGGTCGCTCTGTTACAGATAAAATGGGTTCCATTTTTAAAAAAGTAGAGCAAGGTCGGCATTTCAGTAATTATGACGTAGCTGAAGAACTGAGGATTGACCACAAATTAGTTTTGGTGCATTTGAATAAAGTTTGATATTTGGGTACCTCACGAGCTCACTGAGAGAAACCTAATGAACTGTGTACTCACTTGTGATTCTTTATTATGGCGTAATAAAACTGGACCATTTTTAAAGAAGTTTACATTGTTGTTATAAATTATTTATGTAGGTATAAATTATTTTGTATGAGTGGTAACCCTAAGGATGTTACGGGCAGGAGCTGTACTAAAATATGAATTGGTTGCTTTTCAAACCATGTTTTGATTGCATCAAGATTTAATTTTAATTTAATTGCAATGTGTCTTACGCTTTCTTTCATTGTGCGAGATTGGTTACAGTGGTTTATAATCATCAAAACAGCCGGCATGCTAAGTCTACTCATTTTTTTTGTTCTGTGATTCTAACACATGAATTTTTGGCTTGACGTGAATGTCTACGACTAGGGATATGACATTTTAAATCAAAATGGATTTTGAGTAATTGATTAGAAACTCATTTGTTATTTATTAAAAATATAATCGATTTATTTTATTATTTTATTGGTGGCCATATAATTAAGAACGATTTGTAGTTATATAATATTTTAAATGAAACTTGTCCTATTTCATTTAAATATTCCTTTTTTTTGTAAATATTACTTACTTATTCAGGGAGTCAGTTAGTTAAGATAAACTAAACTGGGATAGGCATATAAAATTAGTTAATTTTTTTTTGTAAAAGTATATCTATCGTGGACAGTATTATAGCATACTTATGGTAATGAAGCTGGACAAATAATTAGAAATGATACTCTTGAGCTGTTGGTAAAATGATTAAAATAAAATACAGGGGAATTGTATTATTATAATATAAAAAATGTACATTAAAAATAAATAAAACATATTTTAAACTTAAATTAATATCTTAATATATTAAAAACTGCATTACAATGACGAGGCATTAACTCTGTTAATTTTTGACATTTTGCATGAGAAATAGAATTCTATTCTTCCGCGAAAACGTCGAATAGTTTCCTTAAATAACCGCACAGTCGATTTGCTATCTTTTTTTAACTTCACAACAAACGTATTCTATTGGGTTTAAATGATTTATAGTGCATGCCGAGATCGCAGCGTCGTTACCTTCGCCAAAATATTCCCTTTCATATTTCGTTAGACCCTTTGAAAAAATCCGATTTCGCCAAACTAATGTTCGATGTTTCTCTCGTATCGAAGAGATGTTTTTCTCGGTCGTGGCATGCGCGGAATATTTAAAGTACTATTATAAGTTTTAAAATGTTTCACAGCATTAAAGATCATGGTTGTCAAACATTGACATTAATATGGAAATAAATCTAAATGTAATATGCACTTTTTACCTTAAGTCGAGTGAAAAATTTACTGTATCACTTGAAACGAAAGGTAGCAAACCGTTATTTTAGGGTCCGAATCGGATTCGGGTAGTTATCATAGTACTATTTAAAAATAATTATAAGCCTCGCAATTTTTGCCCTTCAAATTTAATTACTGATATGAAATAAGTTAAAAATAAACTAAATTTTGACACATATCACTAGACGATTAGTAATTTTTTTAGGTCAACATTTAACATTAATATTTATGTACTACACGTAAAAAGTGCAAAAATATTGGTATAGGTGTACTAGATTCTGATGGGGAAAAGGGATAAAAAAGTCTTGTTACTTGTAATATTTTTAATATAAAAAAAACAACCACTCACTCATAACATTGAACATACTCCTAACCGAATTCCGAACACGGCAAATAACATAGATTAGCCTTCTGCGTGGGACACACTATAGTGCACACTATATTATCACCATCTAATATTCCGATTGGTCAGCAGAATTACCTAATAAACAATATTTTTCCTGACCGGGAATCTAACACTGATAAATAAAAGAAGCTTTATTTTAAATACCTGGAATTAGCTTGTAGGATAAGTGATTACACTTACCATATAAGTTATTTCCAGGTATTAAAGGTTTTCATTGACTTTTTAAACACTTCTTATTTATATATAAGAAGTGTTTAAAAAGTCTATGAAAACCTTTAAACAACTGTATATTGATCGCCTGATAATACACAGTAGGTATACACTCGCCACAATCGTATTGCAAAATAGTTACATACTTTCAAATATTTCCTTACATAAAATTTCAGTGATAATGCAGTGGGTTATTTTCGCCGTTCGTAACTTATGCGAGAACTGTCCCGAAAATCAGGTAAGGAGATTATTAAGCTTGCAATAAATAAGTATTTTAACACTGAGAAAAATTACAATTCCGTGATATCAGGCATGCGAATTTAAAACCAGGGGTATTCCGAATAATCGAAGATCCCTGTAATCGATGTGAAAGTCGAATCAAACGATATTAAGATTGTTTTTTTTAGTATGATATTGATTTTCCATGCGTCGCTTAGATGAAACGATACATAAAAAATGAACTATTATTATCTATTACAAGGTCGTCTGGAAGGGCGGGTAGTATTATTACATTATTTACGTCTTAAGTAAGGAGCATTCTTGAGTATTGTTCTATAGTTTGGAATCCGTACCACAATCATATTGATAGGATTCAGGACATACAGACGCGTCTTTTGCTCTTTTTAAGTGCGAAATTTGGATTAAGACGCAAGATTACCTTTAAGGCACAGACGTAAGATGGCCGAATATTGTACTTTATATAAGATTGTCAACGCCAATTGGGATACAAGTGATTTGCTGAGGTGTTTTTCGCTCAGAATTGGTAGTGCTCGAACGCAGAGACTGTTTTCCTTACCTATAAGTAATAAGAATGCAACTTTTAATGATCCAGTTTTTCGTATGTGTAGAACTTACAGTAATATTAGTAAAGACTTAGACATTTTTTCCGAAACTTACCCATTTTCTTGATCTTAAAATAAATTAATACTATTTACTTGTATTGTCTAATATAAATTGTACTTTGAGGTATTGTGCGTAGCTATAATTAGGGGACAAACTTAGTGTCATACTGGGACATTTTGTAATATTATATTGTATGGTTTACTTTTTTCCTTTTTTAAATTATAATTATAAAAATGTGCAATTGTGTCATTTTAAATCGGAAATGAAATATTGTTGACCTTTGCTTTACATCAAATGTAATAAATGATATTCTTTCATTGGGGCCTGGTTCCTGATGCGCCACAGTTGTAACAACTGTATGAAATCCGATTCGTCCTGCCTTTCAAACCACTTAGAAGCAACATCTAAATGTTCAAAAGCTTTTGCGTGAGATGGTATACATTTGTACCGAAAAGACAACTTATCATTTGAAAGCTTTCGAAAAAATTTAAACCAACAGTATATCACTAATAAGATCACAACCACGGTAAGAGATGACAATAAACATGATATAACATTGAGGGATGACAACTGGTTAAAAAAAGAGAAACTATTTAGGGCCAGTTTTTTGATCCGTGGTTAACTCGACCATTTGTTAAAATCTTTGACAAATGGTTAAATATCAGAAAAATATGTTTTTTGATTAATAGTTAGCCTAACCAATTGTCAGAATTACAACCATTTGTCAAAAATTTAACCATCACTGGAAGCTAGGTTAAGTAAATGACCAATTGTTAAAAGAACAGATGTACAACTGCGTTGTATTTACTTGGTCCCTTGTTATTGTTTTTTACGTTGTTTTTATAACCTACATGATTTCATAGTGAATTTGTACATAAGCTATTTTTGGGATTTCGTTTTATGATGCAATTTCATAGGAAAATATTAATTGTCATTTTTTGGTTATAGGATTATTGAAAATAAGTTATATTTTTATCTTGATCATCCTTAGTATATCTTACTATATAGAAATAATTTCTCTTGTTTCCACGGGCAGATGCCAAATCATTCAATTATTAAAAATCTATAAATTCCACGAATAGACAATACAAAAGGTAAATATGCCTACAGTAAATAAAATACTTAGTCCTCGATTTATTTTCCAACATTACAATCCCACCTTGGATACTATATACTATATTCTTTTCACGTATTTCTCTATAAGATAAATAAAAAACAAATATATGCTTTTTATAAAAAAGTTAAGTTTAAAATAACTGGAAAAAACATATCTTTGTTGCTTTCTAACATTATTAAACAAATTGCCTTATATTTTCTGAAAAATAACATATAGTGCACACAACAGAACAACCATAAACATCCACACTGTTTGATAATCTATAGATTTCTTTCGTCTATTTGATCTTTAGAACAAAATCCTAATGTCATAAATGGTATATAGTTCGCTCCGTTCATTCAAACCGTTAGTGTTGTCACCCAGAAAAAAATTACCCATGTCAATGTATAGCGAAAAAACGACTCATTATGCTGGCAACAAATTGGCCAGTGGTTAAATTTGACTATGGTTAAATTTGGCATCAAAAAACGAAATAGCGAGTTAACAACTTGTTATTGTTTTAACTATAGTCAAGTTAACAAATGGTGAAATGACATTTGACTACGGATCAAAAAACTGGCCCTTAGTCTATCAGTTAGATAATAGAAAAATATTAGATACTTTTTTTTTACTTCAATTTAACAAGAAATGGCTTAGATAATAGGCACTAAAGTCGAGGAGTGGGGGCTCGCTACGTTACAGCTACGTAGAAATATACAAAAGTGTGAGGTCACGCGACATTTCAACTTAACTTATAGCAGTAATTTATAAATTACGCAAAAAAAAAGTATTTAATATTCTTTAATAATCTTCCCTTCGGACAGACAAAAATTAGTCATCATCCCTATTACGGAATTTATATTAATATTGTTATTTTGATGTATATGGGTAACATTTTTTTTGTTTTATAGGAGGTGATCTCGAAACTGACTCTTCAAGGGCCTGTTGATAATGAAGTGCTACAAGAAATGGGACTCACCCTACAAACAGACGCACAAGGCAACTCAATTAAGATTGTTCCAATGTCTAGAGTATAGTAGTCAATAAGTTACGCATGTTTCTTATATAGTCATCCTTTTATGTCTAAATAAATGCAATGAAAGTTAAATAAACGATATGCTGTACTGTTAACACGATATTTTTAATTTTTTACTTACTAGAATCGAATGTTTTTGAAATTAGGTATTATAATTATAGCCATATTCTAATATAGGTATTATAATTATTATGCAAATAGATTAAAAGAAAATGGTTTAATACTTTATTTACAAGGTCAATTTCAAGTCTTTCACACATTTTCACTTATCAATTCTCCTTTTTCCAGTGTTTTAAGATCAGTTCATTAAACTTGCACACTCGATTGATGAACCGTATTTACCTTTGTCGGCGCAGATCCATTACTTTTTGCGACTCAGCGAAAATGCGTTACACGTTATCTTAGGATGTGTGGGACTTTCCCTTGCTGAGTTCGGGAAACCTACCCACTAAAAACTGAGCATACCTTCGATCGGGGGTGCATCCGCAAACCCGGGTGTATTCGCCAAAACAGTCTTGGTCAACCTATGCTATGAGTGTTTTCGATAAACAAGTAATGATACAATTACCCGTAACAATAATTCATCATTCCACATGCCAAAGCAGACAATATTTTATTTACTTTGAGTAATTTCTTGTAATTATCAGTTTTTTTGTGGCCTTAGGGTAAATCCACCCATGTCACCGACCCTTAAAGAATTTTAAAACAAAACAAGTTTCTTCATTTACGTTAACTGCATATAAACTCAAATGAAACTAACTACGCTTGATGCTAAAGATCACGTTCAAATCGATACCTTATTTAATCGGTTTATATATTGATCTAAACTGGTTAAATGAGGTTGTTACCGTTTTGAAATGTCGAGTCGACATCACTACTTGACGTTTTGATTTGACAATTGACATTACCAAAACAAAAGTTCGTGTGTGTGCTCTACAAATTATTTTCAATTGAATTTACTAATAATAACAATGGTAAAAATTGCACTGCAAATTAGAGCACAGCTAGAATGCATCGAGAAATTGTACACAAACCATCCTCACTACCAGTGGTTTTTGAAGTTAAAGTGTAACAGCTGCGGTGAGGTGACCGAAAAGTTCCATGACCTCACGGAGGCCGATAAAGTCCCCCAAAAGCATAATAGATCGGAAACAAATTTACTCATAAAATGCAAGCTTTGCTCTAGAGAAAACAGCATAGATGTGATTGAAGGCAGCAATGGTAAATCTCATTAACATTTGACCTATATAAAACATCATTAGGTTTCCTAGTTGTTACAATTTTGTTGTTGTAGTTATTAGTTTATGTTATCTACTTAGATATCCTAGAGTTTATGATAAATTAAAAATATTTTGCAGCTGCATTTACAAATAATGATATTGGGAAATTCAAGACAATAGTACAGTTTGACTGTAGAGGGGTGGAACCAGTAGATTTTGAGCCTAAATCTGGATGGATTGTTGAATCTGAAGATAATGGTAGGTGTACAACTTTGTCATTTTGTGGTATATAATATCTAAATAACTTGTTATTTCAATTTTTTGCAATATACTTATTTATTTACTTAAAGCCATACTCATACATATTGAAGTGTTAAATAATCATTTGTTCTAGTAGACTGGTTGATGAAAAGTTTTTAACACAACAAGTATGTAATGTAGTAACTTCTATATAAAAGATTTATATATAAATGATATACCTACCATCTATTTCACTGGCTATAATGCTGTGTATCCCGACCTGTGGTGTATGTGTTTGGGGTTCGAATTATAAATTATTAATAAACATTGACCCAAATGTGTAGGAAAATACTTGGAAATGGCCACTGTTAAAGAGGAAATAAGATTATTCTCAAAACAATTCAGGAATAGACTAGTGCACTACACCAACACATTTGCAGGCACTGATACTACTCATATTGTAAAGAGACTGAAAAATATGCCAATTAGGATCTGGAACAGAGGGGTACACTGATGGGAGTGCCACCTTACAAACCAAGTTTTCTTTAACAAAACTGTTTATAGTTTGTGAACAGATTACAGTTAGAAATAAAAAAAATATTATCATGAGAAATGTCCATTGAATATAATTAATAAAATTATATGGAATGCACATTTAAGCTATCTCATGGTGACTGATGGGTTAAAAAAGAAGTATTGCTTTAATTTTTTTAATAATGCTAATAAATTATTTTTTCTTTATAACAGGTAAAAAATTTGATGATGTGGATCTAAGTGAAAAAGAATGGGCAGACTATGACGAAAAGAATCAAACTTCTGTTGGAATTTATGAACTTGAATGGCAGTTTATTAAAGTAAAGTGAATAATAAATTTATTTCACTTCATGAACATTGATTATGTGTATTTAATAAAATTATAAATTAAGTAATAATTTATGTTTTTTTTTTAAATTATGCTAACCTGATCCAATTGGTTTCTTTTTGTTAAAATATTTATAGAATTACCACAAAAATGGTGAGTAAAAAGATTCCTAAAATTTTATGAATCTAGGCGGTTTTACATTGCATAGTTAGTCATAGACTGGACCTGCTCTCTTACACTGCTATGGTTACACGCTGCATCTCCCCTAGACTCCATTGGGACCCTAAAATCTACTACCGCGCATAGTTCTACTAATTAATTTTGCACCAATACATTATAAATTATTTTGTGATATTAAAATGGAGTGGGGTAATAAAGAGAACCGCATTGCTGTGAATGCATTACACAAAGATAATTTAAACACTACATTTTGCATTATATACAGTATGTTTGGAGCCAAACACTATTTTCAAAATCCTACATACTTTTTAATAAAAAATTTATGTCTTTCTGTGTAACAATATTTATGGCAAGACTCTTCTATTTTCCCGAAAATGAATTTCATCTATATAAGAAATGTTAATATGACTGAAAATGTTTCAATATTTTCTTTTCAAGGCAAATATAATTAGGCCCTCACATATCATATTAATTGGTACGAGTTATACGTAGTTTTCTGTTTTAATGGTAATAGTGAAACTAGTTGTTGAATTATTATCAGGGATGTTAGACGGCCACTTAGAAATCCTTGTGCCGAGCTGGCTGAAAGCTAATATTCGAGGGGGAAAACTAGAACCTACGCCTATGCTCCGCTCTGGCGCTGCCAATTCTGGGAGACAAACTGTGTGGGAAATCGCATCTCAGTAAAAAAAATGCACATTTCAATTTCGTATACCGTTAATAGAGGGCAGTAATTATCGAACACACGGAAGAAATATCACTTTTAACATTTTTTTTTATATTATATTGCATTTCGGGTATAATATGTACAATATATTGAAAAACATTAATAAATGATTTGTAACAAAAAAAAAAAAATCCCGCGCAGGAATCGAACCCGGGGCCCCGTGAACATGAGCGCAACGCGTTACCATATACGCTACCTAACATATTGAGAAAATAACGGCGGAAAATGGTACCTAACTGCTCATCGAGAGAGCTTGATAAATAAAGTTTTATGACATTAAGGAAATCTGATTGGAATGTTTTTTTACATGCATCTCTGAAATTTGTCGATTATTCTATGTTGTCAGTGTATTTTTGTCGGTCAACGGCCAATCTTGGTATTTTTGCATACAATGACTGAGTAGTCTTGGTACATGGTACGTGACACTAAAAACTAGTAAGGGGGCATCCATAAATTACGTGAGATGTTTAAGGGGGGGAGGGAGTCGAGTCAAATCTCATCTAATCTCACGTTGGAGAGAGGGGGGGGTCTCGGCAAATATCACGCAATTTTTAAAATAAGGCTCGGTGCGGGGAATCCCTCTTAGAGTGACAAGTCTAAGGTTAAGATCATTCACTAATTCGTTGGAAATAAAATAATTTCATTCGTACTTTGACATTATACATCACTCCTGATTGTCAAACCACTATACTCGTTTTATACCAAATAGCTCAATTTAATTTGAATTTACGGTACAATGTAGCCCGTCCTTTGTTTTGGCGCCACTGTCAGCTGAACGTGTGACTCGATGAATAAGAGCAATATGGATTACTAGTCTCTAACTAGTCGTAAATAAAAGTACGAAGCGAATTATTTTTTTTTCTTTTTATTAAAAAATCCAACGTGTTTAAATAAGAAACCCACTTTTTGAAAAATCTCACGTGAGATTTGGGGATGGGGGAGGGGATTGAATAAAATCTCACGACATCTCACCAGGGGGGGAGGGAGGGTCAGAAAATTTGAAAAAACACCTTACGTAATTTATGGACGCCCCCTAAGTATACCAAGAAGTTGGTACGTCTGACATCATTGATTATTATACCTTATAAAATCATAAATATACCTAATTAATTATATTAGTTTTCAGACGTATTTTTAAATTGATCCTTCGAGATTCTTTTCTTTATAATTCTTAGAGTCAAGAAATGCTCATTACGCATTCGGCAGAATCGGCTGTTCTTATTTACTACATTCATCTATCAATTATCAGCAATATTAATAGATTCACTAAGTTATAATTTATCTTTGAAAATATCATGTATCAATTTAGTATATCAATAACATGCAGCAGCAAGTTCAAAGCACCGGTTAACTGATGCTCAATTTCTTTTTCATTACCAATACGTAACACACCGAAGCCGATTCAGTTGGCGCGAAAGTAATTATTTCTTATACACCATGTTGTCACGAAGGTGAATAACATCACAGTCTACAATTTTCCGCTAGTTTATTCTTGTACCATTTGCAGTAATCGCCGATGAAATGTTATATTAATTTCTTTATGAAGTCTTAAAGCGTGGAATAATAGATAATAATCGTTTATTTTACTAATAAAACATCTAAAATATCTTTGACGCATACTCTATTGAATGTAGTAATATGCTAATAGAAGTGATAGATAACATCGTTTTAATTATGTACCTACTCAAGGTCAACCCTTTAGTAGCATCGCAAGAACTAAATTTAATGCGGGCCCTGCATATTTTGGGAGTGCCTTTAAAGATGCAAGCATTTTATAAAAATTATAAAAATACCTGAGCATGAAATAATGAAAGAAATCATCATTATACCTATAGAAAACTGGGCTTTAAATTTTGAGCACTTTAGGAGTTAAACTTATTTTGGATTTGAGCCCTTTGTAGTGCAGGTGCAGGGTGCCCTTTAACTCCTTTAGCTGTCATTGCTTTTTTTGATAATTAATTAATTAATTAAAAATATTTTGAAGAAACTAAACGGAAAAACAAAAATTTATCACAGTAGCATCCATTTACTCATAGTCACACAGGTTTTTTATTCTGCACACAAGCCAATAACTTATTGTCTCTTATGGTACAAATATCTATATAATTAATTAATCATTATCTCTACGATTATTTACATCATGATTATAGTTACTAGACGATTTTTAATTACAGTATTCAAGAATTTGTTGTCAATGGTGTTGCTTCTGAACTAGGTTCTGATGCCGTGTTGTCATTGTCGGATCGAGACTGGAAACCTGCAAATCCGGTGTTACCATGGACTGTCACGGTATGCTCAGGAGTATTTGTCACAGAGTCTGGAGCAACACTCACGCCACTACTACTGACATAACTTCCATAATAATCATTATAACCAGGCGACGGACTATGAACATAAATGGGCACTTCTACGGGATACGGAACTTTAACTGGCACTGGAACTTTTTTCTCCACAGGATACGGCTTTGGTATGTAAACAGGGATTTTTTTCTCAACTTCTACCTTTTGCGGAACGTAAATTTCAACAGGTACCGGGATTTTTTTCTCAACTTCCACTGGGTAAGGCACTTTTTTCTCGACCGGCACTGGTACCTTCACAGCGAAGGGCTGAGGAACCGGAACCTTGACGGGCACATGTTTGACCACCTCTACCGGCTCTTTGACCTTCACTTGAACAGGGTAAGGCACTTTAGTTTCCACTGGATAAGGTTGCGGTACTAGTACTTTGACGGGAAGCGGGTAGGGCACTTGTTTTTCAACCGTCACGGGGACAGGACGATCTACCGGCACGCGCACTTCTACAGGATATGGTACTTTCTTCTCGACGGTTATGGGAATGTGATGCACCACCGGATATGGCTTGGGAACGTATTCCTTTTCAACTACTTTGTAAGGTACTGGGTGTGGCACTTTAATACCAATGGGATAAGGGATCTTTTTCTCGACCGTTACAGTGTATGGAACTGGTTTTTCTACAATCTTTACTTTTTCCACGGGAACGGGTACTTTCTTTTCCACTGGAACAGGATAAGGTTTCGGAACTTCTACTTTATAAGGGACTTGGACTGGCTTTTCTACCGTTTTGATGTATCTGTGATGATGATGATGATGGTGATGTTTGATTTTAGTGATGACTTTTGGATGACTGCGCTTGTGAGGATGACTGCCTTCGGCTTGTAGATCCCCATGAATATATTGTTCTACAACAGGTTTGCCGTAACCAGAATAATAAGGATTCGGTTGTCTTTTCTTTTTTAAGTAAACCATCTTTTTTCTAGAAATATCAGGTGTCTCTTGATATTGTGGATTATCTAAATTTGGCACTGGAATTAGACCAAATGACTGCAAGTATAACATTCTGTTATTATAAGGCGACATCCCTGGGATGTCAACGGATCTTCTATTGCGAGAATGCGGAGGCCTTTTATATTTCGTATAGTGAGGAGGAACGATGGGCACCCAATCGCTATTTTCAAAGTCTGTTATATTAATAGCTGGAGTGGTGCTTCTTTTTTTTGGGATTCTCGTCACCGGTCTATAAGGACGTCTCGTGGGGGAACTGTAAGAACTGATTGGCACAGAGTCATTTTTAATAACATACCGAATTCTAGTGACACTAGCGGATTGAACGTAATCAGATTTGTGAGTGATATTTGTTGGATTAGTGTAATTTGTAGTTTTGTTATTATTATATAACGCCGCATTCATTTTTTCTAAAATTTTCTTCGGCCATATTCGTTTTGTCCTTAAGTATCTCTTAGTGGTAGTCAAAGAAGCCACTGTGGTAGTTCCAATGTTCGTTTTTGATGTATTTATTTTCGGCGGTTTAACGATATCATTTCGTACTCCATTGACCGTTTGGACTGGTATATTGAATTTTGGAGGTGTCGTTGCTAAGGTTTGGTTGTTTGCATATATAACAGTAGGTCGCGGTTGTTGTTTTATATAGTAGTGGTTTTTATGAAGCGGCAAAGGGATTACTTTCGGGAAACCAAACACGGAGTTTGGTGACGTAAACAACTTCAATGGCTGGGAAAACTGCGGGCGCTGTAGATTCTGAATATTACCGTAATAAGGCCTTTGTATGTCTACATAAACTTTTTGTCGGGTTGGCTTGTCTGGGAAGATGGGCGGTTTGCTCGGCGGTCGTTGTTCCGGCTTATAATTGTTGGCCACTGTTATATTAGCCGCTTTTGTCGTTTCAGTTTTTGGCACGTACTTTGGACCGTCTATAAGAGTCAAAGCGTTCCTTTTGGTTTCCTCCGCGACCTGGTCCGATTTTACAATTTCCTCATCTTTGATCGTCACGCCTTGTCCATTATTGACGACGATCACTAACGCGATGATCAGGAATGCCGTCTGAAACAAAAGTATAGTTTTAGTGCTAGATGCATTCATTGGTTTTTATCATGTACAGTACAGCCAAAAATCCACATTTGGCGTAAAAAAGTATCAAACGTATAGATCCATTCACACAAACTTTTGCGTTTATATTAGGTAGGATATAAAAACTTTTTAGGAAATACCTAGGACTAATTTTAACCTTTATTGTTACGTAATAAATAATATACATAAGATTGGCTTTAAGTGACGTTTACTTAAGCTAAAATGAAACCGGGCAGTTATAATCTTATTACAAAACTAGTAGTTTTCCAACTATTAAAACATACGGAAAAAGTAATTAACGCTCTAGGAAAAAAAACGCGTGCGCAAAATTAAGCACGCAATATTCTTCCGTGTGTATATTAGGCCACTTGATGAATCGTGGGTGTGGCGGGCTTCCTAGTTATTGAGGGGTGCGAAGAAAACTTAGGAAGTAATATTACTGTTACCTGCAGAAATGACTAGAACAATATAACTTTTTTTTGCAACACATGTGTGTAGGGAATCGATTACAATCTTTAACTTATGTCACAATATTAAGGTCTAATTAAAGTATGTAAAATGAGACGATGAGAATGATGTTAAGATTGTAAGCTCAAAATGAGGAAAAAACTTGGTAAATTTCTAATTGCAGTCGTAACATAACCGATATTTACTACATATTTTATATAATATGAAATAATAAAAAAAAAACATTTGATTAATAAAAATTATGCCAATTATCTAAAACTGCCTTTAAACCTTGATTATAAAATTGATTTTGTTTTATTTTTACGAGAACATGATACACTGCAGTGTGTTGTGCTTAAGGCAAAATTATATGACAATAATCTGTGTTTATGTCTATAATATATTATAATTCGAAGATTTTACAAATCACATTTAGAAAAATTGATAGAAAAGGGTTGTTTTTTGTTTCAATAAGCATACATTTTACGATCAGAAATATGAAAGTTAAAACAAGTACAAACTGAGATGAAATACAAAGTATTAAAGGTTAATAGCATAATTCAAATAAGTATTTAAAAAGGAATCATTTTTAATTTCTATATACAGTAAACAACACGTTAGATTATTCAAATCTGTCAAATTTTCCCACTTGATTTTAAATCTCATTTTTTTTGTAAGTTTAAAAATATGGAGATATAAACTTAAATATTGTGGTAAAGTTTTTATAATTATTATATGCACTCACACACAGGCACAATTAACCGCCCCACTTCTATTTATTTCAATTCGCAGAAATCGCCAAAATTAGACCATATTTTATGAAAGGAATGTTAAAAACTATACTAAATATATTAAAGAAAAAAAAAACAACAAAAGAAAAAGGATGTTTACCAAAAATTGATCTTTTTAATATCTTCAATGAAAATTTTAAAATCTTAGTTTTGAAAATAATGGGGCAATTAAAAGAAAAATAAGAATTAATAGTGGGTGTTGTCATATGTGGCCCTTGTGTGTTCTTGGGGCCGGTTTGTCAATCCATCCATGATGGCTTGAACATCCGATTGGGGGGTACTGTCTCTACTGCAGCCGTTTTTAGCTTTCCTATAGTCGTAGGGACTGATACTCCTGCTCGGTCACTTCTTTTAAAGTTGTCCTAAATGTGCTCTAATGGGTTAAGATCGGGACTGCGTGCAGGTCTTGGTAAAACTAGAATCCTGACCTCATAAATGTACTCACTGACGAATCATGCGGAATGGCAGCGTGCGTTATCATACATTAATCTGAAGTCGTCACCAATGAACGGAGCGAAAGGTATGACATGGTCTTGAAGAACTATTTCCACGTATCTTTGACTATTTACATTTCCTCTATCGAACACAACAAGATCGGTACGAGCCTCATAAGATACCTCCCCATACCATTATGGACCCCTCCCTGGTAACCTATTGTTTCATTTATAGCGCATAGAGCAAACCTATCATTTTGACGCCTGCAGACACGCATAGTAAAACAAACTTTTTATTGTTAAATGAAAGTATACCGTCGTTGATTTAAGAAATGCAAAAGAAATCCATAGATCCAACTTTACCTCGTGTGTCCATAAGTTTTGAGACAACATTTTACTGAAAAAATAAAATAAGATGTTACTGGCTGTATTTTTTTTTAGCGATTTTGAATTTGGAATGTTAACTTTTAGTTTATTTCTATCGCAAATTCATTTGTTTATATTTTCTCGTGATGGAGGGAGCGAAACAATTACATGCAACTGTCATTTCGCTATTTAAGGCGGGAAAAAAACCGATGCAAAATTTCCGCGAGCTGAAAAGTTTCTCTGTAAGCCGTAACTTCGTCTATTCTTAATATAGCGTACAAAGAGACAAGTTCTTTGCAAGATCGCCAAAGGAGCGGCCGGCCACGCTCTGTGAGGACGCCTGCGAACACCAAAATCATCCGAGAGCTACTTTGCCGAAATCCATGTCGCACTCAGAAGAAACTTGCTCTGCAGACTAAATTTTCGCGCGTTTCAGTGAACAGAGTACTTATTATAATATGACCTTAAGGCAAGACCCCATAGCCGTAGAAAAGTTCACTTTTTAAACGATTGTCTTCGTAAGATACGACGCGAACATTGTTGCTGAGGAGACATGATGCCAAGAAGATACTCTTCACCGACTAGATTTTTTTTACCGTAGAAGGAAAGTTCAACCGACAAAACAAAAAAACGCTAAAAAAACGCTGTACGCTAAAAGTAGCAAGGATGTCCCAGCTTCTGCACGAAATGTCTCGCTCACTCATCATCCGGCTAGTGTGATGGTATGGTGGGGAGTTACGTATGAAGGTGTCATTCCGCTCCATTTCTGCCAACAAGGTATCAAGGTGAAAGCCAAGTATTATAGGAGTAACATTTTAGAGCTCGTGCTAAAACACCTGTCTGATACGTTATTTCACAATAAGAACTGGGTTGTTCAGAAAGACTAGGCGCTATCCCATAAGGCAAAAAGCACCCAAGCTTGGTTGAGGGAGAATATGCCGGCCTTCATCGCGGCGGACAAGTGGCCCTCCTTCCAGCCCCGACATCAATCCGCTGGATTATTCTTTATGGACTGAATTAGAGCTCAGGGCCTGCCGAAAGTCCCATCTAAACTTGGAGTCACTGAAGCGAACACTTGTTCGAGAAGCAAAGCGAATTCCGCAAGAAAAGATTCGTGCCGCCATTGATGTCATTTTGAATAAAATGTATATTTTATTGTTAATTATTCTCTATTTAATGGTTACTGAAAATTTTAGAAATAGAAGGTAATTTTTAAAAAAGCTACGCAATTTTTATTTCGTCTCAAAACTTATGAACACACAAGGTAATTTAAAGGGCCTTGTAAACTCTTCATACAGTAAGCTCGCCATGTTTTTGGAAATCTGATATACTCAAAGTTTCGCCATCCCAGAAAAAAATTGTCTTAATTCGCCATTGACAAATAAAAGTTATTGTAAACTCGCCATGGCTATTAATTAACAGTACACATAATTATGTGTTACATTTTCAATAAGTACCGTAAGCAAAAAAATTTTAGCGCATGCAAGTTATCTATAATATATAAAGCTTTTTAAAATAAAATCAAAATGAAGGAGCTTCTAAATGGGTAATTTACTGCGGCAATTAGTGGCTGCACTTTAACTTATTCCTCGGCCATCGCAGAAATGTTTTTTGGTCCCAAATTTTGATAATGATATCGGCCATACCAAACATGTTTGACTTGCCGGGTTATAATTGCAATATTGCACAACAAAACTGGCCACTGTGTCGCAGACACAAATTGCCGAAAAATAATGCCAGCTTAGAAGCCTCTTTATATAATAAATCCTCTTAATATCTTATAAAGAAAATAATATAGCATAATATATATTAAATTAAACCATGGGAGATTTTTATTGCATTCAGATTTGAAAAAAAAAAATTAATTTATTAAATCGGTGAGCTATTTCAATTGACAATTTAAAAGAATAATTTTGTAATCTCATAAATCACAATGAAATGACAAACGTTTTAGATAATTTCAATAATATGTTTCTAGTTAGAGTGCTAAAAAATATGTTTTCCAACTATTTCGTGATCTATAATATAGGTAATTATTTGGGTTAAATAACTTGAGATATGCATTACAAGAAAAGCTGACTGTTTTTTATTTATTAATATGATTACTGATTACTTGTTATTTCCGTTTTAATTGTTTAGGACAGATTTTTAATTTGACTTAGACTAATCACGAAACAGTCGGGCAAATTAGTGTCAGTACTTCAGAAACGTATCCCTAGAATTAGTTAATAATTATATTATTTTCAATGTAACATGGCACGTCAAGTAGTATGATTAATTAAAAATAATATCACTTTTAAATGTCCGTCATGATACAAAAAATATTAGTAGCTCATTTCCTCTAGTCGCATATTTAATGGATATCTAAATCAAAATTGTTGTTGAAATAATAATTTTTATTATTTTAAGCGTATAGTAGACCACCAATCATATATAGCACATTTATTTTAAAAATCATCACATGACGAGTTTACGCATACTTTTTCGTTGACGAATTAACTATGATAGCGTGTTTGAGCTAATTTAAGCATGTAAATCACGTGAATTTGAACCATAAACAGCCAACATAATATAATTGATCCTAAGTATTTGTTTCACTGTCTTTTACCGTTTCATGCGTGTCGTATTAATTCACTTCGTGTAATTCACTTTCAATTGTTTTCGCTTGATTTATCACATACACGTCACAAGATCACATATCACTTTTAAATAACGAATAAAAATGGCGCCAGTAAAATATCCCGCGCTATTTTTTTAACGCTATACCCACCGATAAGTGTTGCATAGTGTTGCACCTACGACTAATCACAGCGTGCGTGTAAGTACGTAATGATGGGCCGAGGAAGCGCCACTCACTTATATAGCATTTGTGTAATGGGTGACTGGGTTTCGGGACGCGAACTTTCTCCGTTAAACTATATATTCTCCTATATTTTTCGATCTATTTCATTGGGTTATTCTAAATAATACGTTTTATAAAATCGAGTCATCTTGATAGTGAAAGATTTATTATAACACTTTAAAATTCTTCAAATGAAATATACATTTCAATGATCCTGATAAGAGAGTTTGTTACTAGGATCATGATCCACTTACCTTTAAATGCCTAATACTTACCAAATTTAAAACAATGTAAATTTTATTATATTATTAACTATTGACCTTTGCCAATAGCCAGGCATAAATTTACAAGATCCTAACTTTACCGGTACAAAATATATTGTATTTAATAATTTAAAAATCCTTACTTAAGTAACGCAATCTTCTTATCTAACAAATTAGATTTTTCACCAAATTCACAGTTCATTAAAACTGGCCGCTGTTAAAAAAATTACTATACTTAAAGCTGACTGTTCACTAAAACAAAAAAAATATTTTTTTTTTAACTTGCTGTTTTAATGGATGGAAATGAATATCTAGATTCAAAATATAGTCTTCTAACCTAATAAAGGATCGTAATCGATCGTAACATAGTAAAAAACTTGTATTTGCATATTTTTAAATAACCTTAAACATGTTAAATTGTTTAAAAAGTTTATTTAACCAAATTGCGAGTTTTCACAAAATTCATATTCGATATATTTTTTCCCAAGATCTCTAGTATAAAATTTTTTATTTAAAAAGTTATTCAAAAAAGGCTTATCAGTATTATAATGAAGTCTCTAAATATTCAACACTCTAGATTGAAAAGTAGCCGTTAAATTTATATAAATTATATTGGCTTTAGATTTTAGAGAAATTTATAGAACAACAGAAAAAATAGAGAATATAGAAATTTGAGATTTATTGGCAATGGTATGTCACTTATATATAAACAATATCTATGTCTTTTAATATTTTTTATTTTAAAACAAATAAAATATTCTTAATGAAAAATACTCAAAAATCCACTTTATCCCCAGCACTCTGCCATGGGTTCGAGTCCCATCTCAAAGTGCCAGGTACAAAGTGGATTTATTTTTCAGCATAGCATTTTGAATGCAAAATTGATCAAATATAATAGTTAAATCTTACTGCATTTTTATTTGCTAAGAGAAACGATTTTCGTTATTATTAAAAACTATCATGAATGGCCGACTTAACTAAATATTTTAACGTTCGTTTCCCTGTTTCCGTTCTTCCGCCAAGTTTTCATGCGTACTATTTTTGCGCAACATACATGTTGATAGATCACGCAATAAAAAAAAATATTACGTTGAAACTAACTAATTCGTACGAACCTGGGGCCTGTTATTTTTGTCCTCGATTGAAAATTCAGAAAAGTTCGAATCGTTTTTATATTTATTTAAAATCATATCCGATCAGATTATATCTGTACACTAATGGTAGTGACAGATCAACCTCCCTTGCATCATAAATTCTAAAAAATACCTATTTTAGAGACGTTTCGCATTTCAAAAATACGAAATTTGTTTTCGTCGAATTAGAATAGTTAATTCTTATGAGTAGTACATATTACTCTATGGTTGACTGAGAAAGAAAGCTTAAGGTATTAATATGAACATGTTCTACTAACTTATCTAGATACTTAAACATGCGCACTAAAAGTTTCCGAAATCAATATTTATTGTTTCTCAAAATATTGCGTCATTGCACTAAAGAGAAGTTTTAATTTTTTTTTTAACTTTTGATGTGTTCTATTATAAGTTCATTTATAAGTAAAATATACTTCAATTTTATTTCATATTAGGTAGTATTTGTTTGACTTATACTGTCTTATTTTAAAACGAGTACGTATTTTTCGACCAAAATAAATGAACACGTCTTAAATTACGTTTTCTCTTCTGTCATTGTCAATTTACTATAGGCGGTCAATGGCTATATGTACTAACATCAAAGAAATCGTATATGTAAGTACATACTGAAAGTGTTAAACTAAATTTAAATCTGCGGATGCCCTAAAGCCCATGTGGAATACATTTAAGAAATAATTGATCTATTACAAAGAATTTGTTAAGAAAAAACGATTTAAGCAATACCTAACCGTCAGCCATTCCCAGTAAAAAAATATACTAATATTATAAAGAGAATAGATTTCATTGTTTGCATATCACCGTAACTACAGGATCGATTTAAAAAATTCTTTCACCTGCGAGTAGCTACATCATACTTGCAGGACAACAGTTAGTAACAAATAAAATTGGTACGGTGTGCGTACAATCCCCTCCCCCCCCCCCACTTATTTCATTGGTCAGAAAATTGCTCTTGTTTCTAGTCTTGACTGGTTCTTGTGTGGTCGATAATACGTATAGCATAACTTCAATTTCAAATTTGTTAAAATAGAAATTTATTGAAATTGAAATATAAACTTTGTGTACAAATTAATTGAGAACCGATCAGAGTAGATATAAAGTTATAATTATTACTATTATTATATATCTGTAGTCTAAAATTGTGTTTTGACAAAGACTGTAAAGTTTGTATATAGATACACTATTTATAAACTTTACAGTCTTTGTCAAATTCCTAATTTGATTTGCTTCAATCGTAAACATTACATTCAATTTCATGGCAACCAAAAATTTACGTGTTCGAATTGCATGTCGACCGTGAAGTTTGATCAATTTCTTACCAAGGTCTAATATTTCGGGAAAATAAGTGGAGTTAAATTCAGTACAAAAATAGTCACCGCAATGAACGACAGTGAGATTGACTGCCTGAAAAATGAATTAGAACATGAAAAGGCTTGTAGGTGAGTGAGATGAATTAATAGCTACCTAATATGAAATATAACTAATAATTTAAATACACAATCTTTGATAACATTTTTTAAATTAAATAATAGATTTTTGGTAATTTTCAATGACAATGGCCATTGGTAAAAAGGTGGTTATTACATACGCTTTAGAAGGTAATACGTGCGTAATTATTAATAAGTTAAATTTAAATGCTGCTTTATTAAATTAATAGTGTGTATGACAGCTTACTATAATAAATAGAAGTTTGATTCACACATATCAGTGACGTCATTAGTTTGTGTATCGCAGACAACAGAATGTATAATGGAATAAATAATTGATACGAAATTGTACTTATGTTTCATCTAGGTGCTTAAATAAAATAATTAGATCATTCATACCCGATGCAATAGTCACTTCTTAACTGGCTTTTCTTGATTTATTTTCATTTGTAGAGATGCAGCAGGATGGCAAAATGGAGAAATGGAAAAACAGATAGTATTTCTTCAGGAAGAGCTTCGTAAAGGAGACTACCCTTGGGAAGGAGACAATGATCTATTAAAAGAGAGCAACAAGCATAAACTACTGCTCGAATCAATAGATGAGTTCAAGAAACAACTGCCGTTGTTGAAAGAGAAAATTAAGAACGCTAGAGTATGCGGACCAGGTAACAAAACTTTGGGATGTAATATAATCTATCAAAACAAATTATAAATATATCATTAAGTAAGGCAACATGGTAATTTTAATATGTATATACGCCATACAAGCTCCGGTTTACCTGTACACCACCTACAGTAGACGGTAGGGTGTATGACTGTCTGTATAAACCTTATAAACAAAAACCTTGATTTCTTTAAGTACGACGCTATTTTTGGTACACACTGATATTAACACACGAGACTGATATTACATTTTTCAAAATATTTTAAACATTACTCATATGTATGATTCCAAATATATACTTATTTTAATCAGTCAGTCTGTATCTTTAGATTGCAGGCTCAAACATGATGATCTTCACATAAATTTGGACATCCTTACACCAGTAAGTTCTCTACAGAAGTTTTTTTAAATTTATTTTTGTCATTGTATATAATTGTTATTCCTTTTTATCCAGGCGGAATTGCTACGCACTGTAAAAAGGTTTGAGAGATTGAAGACAGACTTAATAAGTACACTCCGAAGCAAAGAGTGGCGTCTGGATTCGGAATCAAAGGTTTTTAGGATAAATATTGACACCAATAATGTTGGTATTCATTATTGATATAAAATCATCGGTTATATAAATTTTATTTACAGTTGTTCGTCCGCGTGAATGACCAAAGATCGTACCTGCAAAATGAGCTCATGATTTGTCAGAATAACATATTAAGATTGCAGAAAAACGGTCCATATTGGCAGTAAGTGGTTTTGTTATGAGAGGTACAAACCTCTAATATTTTGGCATGGTCATAGATTATTCTCTACAATATTTTATTATCATTTTAAATCTATTACTAAGCATTAGCATTTTATGCACACACAGCTGCACTTCAGGTAATCACAATATGTCAAATTACTGCAAATGATTTTGAATTCTACCCTGAATATACTAACATATATTAAGTTTTATAATCGAGTGGGGAAATTTGACAGTTTTGTAAAGTCTGATGTGCAGTTGACTGTACATTTCGAAATGACGTCATGAAAATAAAATAAATTTTGAATTAATTTAAAGCGACAAAGTGATTTTTCCTGCTGAATATTTATTTTATGCTTTTTTTTATTAAAATTAAACTTACGAGTACTATGTCAAAACTAGTAGAATATGTCTGTGAGAATACCCTATTATTCAGTTGCAAAACAAAAAATTGCCTCCTTTTACACTAACACTAATCATTAGATAAGTCATGAGCGTGCTATCAATATACTTGTGATTCTTTCCAATTATGACATAAAAGTTACTTCGACCATTATCTTCAAACATACCACTATACATGATATTGTTCATGGCGCCACAGCTCCCAATTCTGCTGCTCTGGGCAATTAGTATACTACTAACAAGCTTGTCAAACAACATAAATTTGTCTGTTCTGACTAGACGGAGAGCACGTGATAAAAATATGCAAGAGCTTTCTACAGCCTAATATTTCAGTATGTTGAAGCACTAAGGATATACATCACTCGGTGCGGATGTCAGGCGTTGTAACACCTGGTAGCGTTCGAGCAAAGCAATGCAAAATACAAAAAATCATATCATATATTATAAAAAGCTGTTCCATATTCTCGTCACGGCTCTTAGTCTAAACATTCCAGCACCGATAAATCATACGCCATTGCATCTTCCATCAGATATGTCTCGACACTTGTATCGCTGAATTGTCCGAATGATACTACTGGATATTTATTCCAGGCACATTTCGAGAAATAACGACGAGAGAGTGCTCGACCCAAAGCGGGGTCCTATAAAGAAAAGCTTCGGGGAACGCCTGCCGCCGATTGCCGCACAATGAGACACTTGCGCCTATTGACTTACATGTACAAGTTAACGACATTAGTGCATTCAAAATTTATTAGCAGGTTGTATGATGTATTTTGTCGCGTAACTACTAATATGACATCATACATACTCACATATGTACACTAAACTTGAGTGAGATAGTTGAATAGTTTAATGAGTTTGGTTTTGGAGATCTTCACGGAGAGGGTGGTAGAGGGGACCAACTGCTTGTATTTCTAATGCACACAAATATATTTAACATATCTTGTAGTTTTAGACAAAATTTCAAAGATTTAGATTTGAATGTGATATAGATTTGTTCAAACTAGTGGTGGATAATGATTTAGCTAGGAAAAGTCAGTACATGCATAGGGGGCACCACGTTATAAAAGGTTTGATGGCATGCGGGCGTTTTCTGTTCTTCGCTTTCATTGGTCGTTTCATTGACAAATGATGCGTCAACATCCCCATCAACCCGTGTATATGAACCACCATGATACGGAAATTGAAATCTATTTAAACTACTCAAGTTTGTTGAAATGTTTTTATGTTAAAATAATTATTCTTCAATAAATATTGCTCTCATATATTCGATTTTTATTTCATTATAAAAATTACACCAAAAAAACAACTAAGCAGTTTTTATTTCATAAAATAAATCAAAATTTAGGCAACCAAAGAATATTTAGAGTGTAATTAATGTAAATCAGAATATTATTTTTATACTATTTAATACTATTTTTCCTGAGATTTACGAGAGAATAATTCTAATATTAGTTAACATTGAGGTAACATATTTATTTATTTATAATTGGCTTCTTGACAGTCATAACAAGAAATTATGAAATTTATTGAAAATGGTAAAGTATATGTATACGATAACTATGTAGTATTTTTGATGTTATAAAAAATCGGGGGTTTATTTTATTTTTATTGAACGTCCAGGTCTTTGTTGCGAGTGTAACCAGTGCTCATATTTTTTGAAATGTGACGTCACGTCTCGAAACATCACGTGATAGTTTTCATCGGACAATTTAAATTAATAAATAAAAATATGTTTATACTTAAATTTTTAGTTTTTCGTAGTTTTTACTTAAATAAATTAACAAAAAAATGTGATTGTGGTTTAATATGATCATTATAAAAGTTTTAGAGTGATTTTCTCAAACCAGTCAAGTTGCCAATTGTATTACATATTAAAGAATAAGTTTATTAACACTAACAAGAAGCTGACATAATGCTTGAAAAATAAATGTTTAATATCTATATTGATAAACTAACTTAAATAACCTATTTTTATTATTAACCACGCCCTTTTCTGTTGTTTGTGGAAAAATCAATGAAGGCGCTCAAATAATCCCCGGTGTCTAGCTCATCGAACAACGGCTGACGGTACGCTGACGCTGGAAAGCAGATTTCGTTTTTTATAATTAGAGGTACACAAAGCGACACGTTAAGTTACCATTAAGTTAAGTTAAGTTACCAAAAGGAAATCTACTATTTCGTCAGTCAGATAATAGAAAAATATTAGATACGTATTTTTTATGCTGCAATTTAAAATAAATGGCTTAGATAATAGGCATTCAAGTTGAGGGGAGTTTAGGTACTACAGTTTTGTAGACAGTGAACAAAAGCGTGACGTTTTTCAACACAATTTATATCAGTAATTTATTGATTACGCAAAAAAAAGTGTTTAATATTCTTCAACAATCTTCCTAACAACAAAAAACAAAAATTAGTCGTCATCCCTTTTATACTTAATTATCGTATTTCATATGTTTACTTACGTGTAACGCAGTGGTGTTTATCTAGATGCAGTCGCAGATGTCGCGGGCACGCGCACACGTAACCACCGGCCACGTTCACGCAAGCAAACTCGCACCCGTCTATCTCTTGCTCACACTCGTTCACGTCTACATACGTAAAAGCGAGATGTAATGAGACAATACTAATCATGGTATTCTAGTTGCACACCAAAGGTCGAAAAATAAATCTCGATAATACGGGTGTAGGAAGTTTTTATTCTCTTAGTGTTTAATATACTATTAACAATAATCACAGTTTATATAAATATTGCTTAAATTAATTATTAACTTAAAGATATTTTATAAACAGCGTGCCACGCCCCTCTTCTCATAATCAGATTTTAGAGAATTAAACCTTATGTACCTACACAGAACGATATTTGTTTTTGAAGGGCGTGACGTCATAGCGACGCGACGCCATGCATATAAGGAGGCGTTTACCCGGAAAATTTGGAAATTACTATATGAATGATATGGTTTTAAATATATTTCATGAATTAATACAATGAAAAATATAAAAAAAGAAGTAGCGGTAAAGCAGTATGTATACCTCGTGTGTTCATAGGTTTTGAGAAAAAAGTTGTGTAACTTTTTAATAATTAACTTGTATTTCTAAAATTTTCAGTAACTAATAAATAGATAACAATCAACAATAAAATATATATTTTATTCAAAATGACCGCCCTTGTTTTTAATACAAGCCCTTAGACGATTTGGCCAGAATTCGCTTTGGTTCTCGAACAATGGGTTCGCATCAGTGACTCCAAGTTTGGGTGGGACTTTCGATAGGCCCTGAGCTGTAATTCAGTCCATAAAGAATAATCCAGCGTGTTGAGTTCGGGGCAGGAGGAGGCTCACCCATCCGCCGCAATAAAGGCCGGCACATTCTCCCTCAACTTTATTGTTATTGTTTTGTCGGTTGAACTTTCCTTGGACAAATGAATTTGCGATACAAATAAAGTAAAAGTCGACATTCCAAATTGAAAATCGTTAAAAAAACAGCCAGTAACATTTTATTTTATTTTTTCGTTAAAAAGCTTGTCTGAAAACTTACGAACACACGAGGTAGTATATATTTTGGCAAGAAATAAATCATTTATCTATATAAATACCTAGACATCGCTGTCCGGCCCCCAGTGACGTGTATCCTTGTTCGCAGCCGCACCTGTACCCGCCACGAGTGTTCACACATACTTGAGTCACGTGACACTGGTTGTACTCTATACCGCACTCGTCTATGTCTACACACACAGACAGGCTAGACTTTAGTATGGTGATCGAATATCTATCAAAGCCGACGGAGGCAGACGAAATGAATATATTTACACATTTTTGGGATTCCATGCCTAAACGTACACCGGGCCCTTATCTATCACTTAGACTCCGTTTACAGTCTATCTGTCTGTACTTTTGTCATTAGGCTGTATCTCATAAACCGTGATAGTTAGATAGTTAAAATTTTCACAGATGATGTATTACACTGGCGCCAGCGGCAAGTGCCCGCACTTGCCCCTGCTCTGCCAATGCTAGTAGCATGTAATGTTTCGTGAGCATTAAATGATAAAATTACCCCGCCGATGCACACCGAACCCAATAGGTTATGACCCATTCCTCTGAATCGATTTGAAATTTTGAATCGATACCATCCTTAGCTAAGGGGTTTGCCGCAGCAGTGATAAATCTACTTTACTGACCGTCACATGTGTTGAACGTGTTGTTATGTATGAACCCTGGACGGCACGGGCCAGGATCGCTGAAGTCTAAGTTACTAGTTACCGGCACGTCGAAGAATACTTCCGATGGCATACGCGGTGCTGAATCAAACAGTAGAAAATATTTTAACTTATATATACTTTGTTTCAAAACGCATAAATATACATACGATATTAAATATGTATATTTTTAAGTAAAACTGCATTCTGTTTAGATTTTTAGTTTATTTTGTTTTTTTTTTTTCAAAAACATGATCGAAGAATCTAACTGTTTGGTATTCTAGACGACAGGCATATTACGTTTTGTGATTTAAATATATAACAAAATATCAAGGATTATTCCATCTATTGAAATGAATTAAAGTTCATATAAATGTGCCAAATTGGTGATGGCAATCATTAAAAAATAATAATTTTGTATTACATTTTACCTGTTTTAACATCAAATTCTTCGACATCCGGTGGCTTGTTTTTGTTCATGCTTACAACTTCTGGTTCCATTTCATAGATTTCTTCTGGCATATACGGATCCTGCAATTTAAAGCCTTTAAAACGTGTTTTAATTTATCATTATGACCCGCGTGCGAGTTGAGGGAAAATATTTACCGTACATAATATGACTATAATTATTTATTGAATGATTGTATGCTTTCTTGAACACCATAATTAAATTGACTATTGCGACTTCATTCAATATTAACTGTTGATGAAGCTTCATATCGACCAAAAAAATGCTCAGTAATTGTCTCTTTATATTTTTTACTATTGAAACCTAACCGAATAGTTTATAATACAACATGAATAATAAATCTTTATTTCAAACCCAATGATCCATATTAAATTACAAATTACAGAAACATTACTCTAAATAAAAATATTACGTAGTATAATATGGCTTTATATTACATAGATTCAGGTGGCAATATCCAACCATCGCACATACGGGTATTTTGTCGATTTGGCTGGCCAAAATTATTTATCTCGTTATTATTTGATTTTAAGGTATCTTAAAATATATTTTATTGGAAGGAGTTATTTTTGGTAGGCTAATTATGAAAAAAAACACCTGACTACATATAATTTTTAATTACAAACAAAAAAAAAACAGCTTTTAATGAAATGAAATTAAAATAATATATTCTAATGAACAATGAGTACTAGGATTTTTCTTCTGATTTGTCTGTTTCGTGTTCTATAGAACACGGTTCTTCGGAGTATGAATCATCAACATTTTGATCTATATCAATATTTCTACTGTTTTCTTTGAAAAAGGTTCTCGAGGATTTTGACGGTTTTGATCTTAGACTAGGTCGGAGCTCAACAAAAGCCTATTCAAGACGTCAAGATTGAACTCCACCCTTGAAAATTTCATGCAAAACTATTTCGGTACATCCTGAAATGTATATTGTGCGCTTCGGCAGCTTCTTCAGATAACATACCAATCGGCAATAACGCCTTTCCATCACTGTCAACCCCAACCATGGGGTTGGGGTCATGGGATGCCATGGATATTGTGATATAATGTTTAGCAGTTTCAAACAAAAATCCGCAAAGATTTTTTTTAAATCAGCTTTGTAGCCACTTGAAATGACCTACAAAATTATTTTAAGCCTGTAAATTAATGTAAAATCTTAAATCAATGTAAAACGGAATTTTTTTAAATCTTCGGTTCCTACAAATTCCCTTTAAAAAATGCAAATATAAAAAAAGAACAGATAAATGCAACTGATTTCTTTATAGTCGTATTGCTAGACATCTATTTAATGGCTTTTATCAAAAAACATAACCGGGAAGCACCCTGAAGTATAACTAATCTCATAGAGAATTATTAAACAAGAAACATTGTTTATTTAAAAATGTAGGTAAGTTCAAACGCTATTAATAAATCTTTTTCTACAAAAAATAGTACAAAATAATATGGGAAATATATAAACTTACCTGTATTATCATTGTCACGATCCATTATTGTTTACACTGTAACAATCATCTAGTAAAGACTATTCCATATCAAACTTAACTAACGCATCTAACAGCAATAAGAGAATAATAATAGTCAAGTTTCGACGTGTTTACAAGCACGGCGGATAGCGGATGTGCAAAAAAGGATTTGCTTTAACTATCGGGCCAATAGAAAACGTTGTTTATTTTATTCTAAAAGATGTTTGACAAAATTCACTTTTGACCCGCCAGATTCACGAAATACCTGTATGTGCATCGTCTATATATTACAGTTTGCCCAAGTCTTTCGGCTAGACCCTTTATCACAGCATTATCAGACCTGTCGACTCTGGACATGAACGATGCTATTCTCTTACGCTGAATAGGACTAAACGAATACGACTTTCTGTGACCATTTCTGAGGCACTGCAATAACGTTTCAGTTTCATTAGATGTCGAAAGATGTTAGTAGGTACTCGTAGGCCATCATGTTCTTTTTCGTGTATTCAGTCCAAAGTTGACACGTATTAAAATTATGGCAAAAGGACCTAAAGAGCGTCAATTTCACATCATTAGATGCATTACAATACATTCGGGCAATCATATTTCCCACCACACAAAGAGCTCTACGTTGCCGTTCAATATCGGCATCATCTATTAAGCAATCAACTAAAACATGGCCAAGGTACTTGAACGTATTGACTATTTTGATGAGTTTACCATTAAGACAAACTGTAAAATTACCGATTCTGTTGTCTGCTGCAAACTGGAATCATCCACCGCGCGTTTTTCGGCACCAACTTCGCATTGAGGTAAACCAGGACACTTTCTTAACTATTTTGAATTAAATAAAATTAGTTTCAAAAACTAAACAGATGTCTAAACACTTGTCGACGTTTCTTGATGAATGCTGCGATTTTGTGTTATTACTGAAACTTATTTAATTCTCATGGTATAAGTATGAGAGTGTGATTATGTATGTCTCGTGTGCCAGCTGGTTAAAATGGGTATTCGATTGAACGACTAGCCCTTGAGGCTGCTGCAGAACACAACTATAAAAATTACAGTCTTAGTAACATAAAATTATATACACACAATAGCAAAATGTCCACAATACACAGTGTTTTTTTTTGTTTATTTATAAATCAAATGACCAAACTTTTTAAATTTATACCTGATAAGCAGTAAGAATTTTGAATGCCCACTGTTACTTAGTTAATATAATACCAAAACTGTTAAATATGCTATAACAACTCAATTAACTGCATTTTAAATAGTTAAAAAAAATATTAATTAGTAAAAAACTAGAAATAGTAAGGTTTTATTTTAGTATTCTAACTTTTCTTACACTTTGCATTTAAAAATTGATCATAAACAGTGATTTATTAAAAATACAAAAGATAAGATATATATATATATATATAAAAATATTTTTTTTTATATTATCGTTTTTACTTTACTTTATAATAACTACACAAAGACACACATTAACATAATTCGGCACATTACTTCACGCGCGCCTTTCTCGGTTTATTGTTTTTGCTATTACTGCAGCAGTATAAGCTATAATTTGCGTAGGCGAAGTCGTGGGAAAACAGCTAATATATATACCTGTACATTAGTACCGTAGCATGGCCGCGTGGACTTGCATCGACGAGTTCGCGCCTGAGTACCAGAGCCGCATGTAGCAGAACAACTAGACCAAGGCGACCAAGGCGACCAACGAGCTATAGCCGGCTCCTATAATGTAATAACGATAGTTTTCTCTTTGTACCTAAGCGATTACGTGTGCAGGGTTATAAATAAAACAAATTTGTATGTGGATTCGTTTGTGACGTTTAATAAAAACCCCTTGTCTGAATACTTTGCGTTGCATTTCAGAGAGCGTCACCGTTTCCGTTAGAAATACATACGAAATAAATGAAAAGTTTAAGTAATATTAATACGTAATAATAAACATTAGACATAACTTACTTTGTTTAGATTACAAAGTGAGTAGCTAAAACGCACGTATTACTGAGTATTTGAGACAACCAAGGTACCACAATATTCAGACCCGAAACAATATCGAAAAATATTTTCTACATTGACCCGTACGGTTACAGAATAGCAAATTACGTGGATGACCAAAAATTTATTGTACTTTTGAAAGTACGTTAAGCGGTAAGCTCGGCTGCTTGTGCATATTATCCACCCACCAATCCGCATTGGGACTGCGAGTTATACTGTACTTTCTTTTAACAGCGGAATTTACTTTCTAACAATGGGGACATAGAAGCTTATGATGATGGTCTCGATACTTACCTCACACGGCGGCATGTGACATCTTCGCTTGTCTACTTCTGAACCTTTGCATTCAGACATGTCCAAAACTACTTTGTCCGATTTTGTTGTCTTGTCTAAAGAAAAATGTAAAACACATTTATTATATTAGATCAATTTTGCATTCACAATGCTATACTGAAAAATATTTTAAAAGATTATGAAAAATGCTTAAAAAATCCACATACAAGGGATCTATTCTGGCGAAAGAATTTTGTCGAACACTTATCTTTTCAACATACCAAAGGTTACCTTGTTAAGAATCTACGAAATTAGCTTAATGGGATAATTTGCATATACATACTATAAAGGAAATAATACTTTACCATATCTTCACACGAATGCCAAAAATCATACTAGTGTACGAGAGTCATCTGCTTGACATACAAACAGTCAAGCAGATTTGGCTACTGCCCCCATTTATTTTTCATTTGTTACTATAACGCGTCTAATTCATAATATTGCATAATGGCAAAACTACCACCGTTACCACCTGTGATATGTCAAAGTAAACCTCGTACCTCTAAAAAATTACTAAAACCAGGTCATAATCTTAAAATGGCCAAAACTGGGTCATCCTACCTGGCATGTTAACAAATCCAAGATGCTGGAGTCGCCATATTTTAACAGAAGTTTCTTGTGACCGCATGATTTTATTATATTACATTTTTAGTTTCTGCACGGCGTTCACTTTCGTCCTACTGTAATAATTCTTGAAGCTGCCCGGATTCATAGAGCTTAAAGTTTGAGAAACCCTGGCATAGGGATTTGTGTGCAAAGAGAGACACTATGAACTTTCTCAACTGTCGTCATAATAAATGGTACTAACCGTATGTAACATTATCGTCGTCTATATACTGACAGATGCGGTGTCTGTGTTGATATCCCAAACCGCATGTGGTGTTACAGAAACCCCATTTGGACCAAGCACTCCACTTGCCAGGCACTGAAATTATTAAACTACTATTATTAATAACTATTGTTACGGAGTGCAGCGGCGCGGTTCGTCTAGTTCGTCTAGAGTTATGCATCAATAAATCGCGTTAACACCGTCGAAACTACTTGCGTGTGTTATATCGGTACATACATCCGGTCGGCGAGTAAGGGGGCGTCCATAAATTACGTGAGGTGCTTTTTTAATTTTCTGACCCACCCTCCCCCCCCTGGTGAGATGTCGTGAGATTTTATTCAACCGCCTCCCCCATTCCCCAATCTCACGTGAGATTTTTCAAAATGCAATTTGATGAGTACTTGCGAGTATTTGCCTTGTTGTAGTATCGAATACTCAGTATCGAGTATAGCTTTTGAAAGTATCGATACCTACTCGATATCGAAAGTATCGTTCGAACCCTACAAATATGGTGGTTTGACATTCAGTAGATGTATAGCGTCGAAGTATGAATGAAATTATTTTCTTTTAAACGAATTAGTGAATGATCTTAATCGTATACGATTACGCTTAAGATTTAATCTTAAGCATGTACAATCTGGATTAAATGGACCAAAATAGTATTTTTTTGTTTTTGTTTCAATCAGAAAAAAAAATTGCGTGATATTTGCCGAGACCCCCCTCCCTCCAACGTAAGATTAGATGAGATTTGCCTCGACCCCCTCCCCCCCTTAAACATCTCACGTAATTTATGGACACCCACTAAGGGACAGTCACTGGGAAAGCAAGGGACGGGTAACTGTTCTAGAACTTTTTGGTAATACCTCGAATAGACCTGTAGAGCCGAGGCCAACCTAGAATGTTCTAGGCTAGGACCTATGATGTGGTATCGCTCCCTTTAAATATGCGGTCTATACTGGCTCTCTGTGACTAGTGAACTAACCACGAGAGCGATCGAAAGCGATTATTAGCGTAAAGATTTTTATCCTGAACCCTAAGACGTAACACTATTAAAAAATACATTAAAAAAAATAACTATTAAAAAAAATGACTGAAAAATTGAAGAATATTTAACCACCATATAACATTATTTCTAATTAAACCTTAGTGCTTTGGATAATATAAACTTTTTAAATAAAACCTTATGGCGTTTGACATAGAAATGACAGAATGCGTGCTGTAAATGTCGTCAAATAGGATGTAAAAATATCTATTCGAATTCAAGATTCATAATTAAGACAGGACATCGTCTGTCGGGTCAGCTAGTATTAAATATAATGACCTTGTACAGCTACGTTGTATCGGCGGTGTGCCGCACCTGCATTATTTTCCGCCACACACACGTACTGTCCCGCGGCTTTGCTCGTCACACGCCATACTCCTAATAAGCTGCTACCAAACACGTGTTGGATATTCGATGAATCGTTGGGGATCCGTTGCGTATCCTTGGTTTTTAATAAAATTATGTATTAAACAAATGTAGCGTTATTATTGTATTATTAAATGATTTAATAATCGTTCTAACCGTCAGTGGATGGTTTTAATAGAACGTATTTTTTCTTGAAATTGAAAATATTTCTATTTGGATATGATATTATTTTATGACTGATATTTTTGATAATCAGGTAATCTGTTTACTAATTTTACAGGACTGATGAATGGATACCTACATCCTCAGATAAATGGGAAAACAAGCCATAATTCTCCACGGCGAAGATGTCTTGTCGTTCCACAGAGTTTATGAGGTTAAGGTGTGAATCAATAATTACTCCTATTTACAAATGAAGACTTAATATAAGCATTCTGAAGTACAGAAAAAATTACCTTTAACCATGCGATCCAAGGAGCCGGATGACCTTTCACTTCGCATTTCAATACAATACTTCTCATCAACGGCACCACATGATTTTCGACTATATCGCTGCCAACATTACCGGCAATGGAAGGTGGCATGTCGATAGTGACGTCGAACACTATCTCCGTAGTGCCAACTTTATTTGTCATCACGCAGGAATACTTACCGCTGTCTGATATTTCTGTTTTGTTAATGAGCTGGAACAAACTTTGCTTCTGGAAACTAGTGAGTCTTTTGAACTTAACATATACCAAGATTAGGTTTAATATGCGGTTCAAGGATTTGTCGATGATCAATGAAATAATAAATCTAGTACTAACGTATTTTAAAAAAAACTCGATTTTATCTGTGCAAACAAAAACTTGCACAGTTGAAATCAAGTTGAAACTTATATTAGTAGACAGCTATATTAGTTGGAACCTTTTGTGTTCTAGTTTAATTTTGACGTTTTATAATTTGTCTTAAGTTTTTATGAGATTCGAAAAAGAAAAATAGGAAAATAAAAATAATCACAATCACACATGGGACCTTAACCTTTCGGAATCCGAGCGACTGCCACCGATCCTATTTTAAGGTCACACCAGGTAACACCTTTGGGCTTATTTGCCCTTGTCTACAAAATAAACCCACCAATGTAACATTATCGTTGAGCAGTGAAACTCTAGGCGTGTCTTCACCGAGCTCGACGTAGGGTTGTCGAAGCCACGTGACTACAGGTGTAGGGCTGCCTTCTACTGGACACGTTAGATTCAGTGTATGTCCAACTCTAGTAGCAGATGTTCTTACGGTGTCTTTAGGGATCGGTGGAGGGACTGTAAATTATGGTTGTGTGTTTTAATAGATCTAATTTAAAAAAGATCGATCTTCAGAGTTAATTCTACCAATGAATTAATTCGGAAGATCCCATCGAACGATTCGAACGAATCCCATTTTTACACGGGATCAACCATAGCAACGTTATCGTGTTCAGTATTTTCACATTTAAGAACACTAATTGTTTTAAATAATAATACACTCCATAAGAATGTTAATAGTTCTCTTCCGAGCAATAGCCTGCAAGAGCCAAAACAGGGTCGCAATTCATCCCAAATATCCGAGGGGGAGGGAGGGACAGAAAATTTAAAAAAACACCTCACGTAATTTATGGACGCCCCCTTAGTCGCCTCGAACCTACAGTCAATCGTATGTGCATGCAAGAAATATACTTAACTAATTTTTTGCCTATTTAACCCCTTAGAAGATGACTTTTCAAATTTTATTAGCGAACCTTAATGATATAATAACTATAAGCGTACCAAATTTAAGCTCACTCCTTACAGCAGTTTGAACTATAAGTAGTTATCTTGGCCTTTTATATACCTACTTTTATTTTAAAAATTAACTGTTCTAAATTAAGTATTTGATTAAAGCTTATTTTTGGATATAGTTTATTTCTTTCATACCCCATGATTCCTATTAACCACAAACAAATTAAATTAAATCCATTTGCAAGTAAAGGTTGAGAACCCCTCATCAAACCATAGATAGTTAGGAACTATGTTGTAAAATAGATTGTACGCAAATGAGTTATATGGTTTAATACTTTTTGGAATTTTGACAGTAAAATTATAATATTCATAGATATATAAAATTATAAGACAATATTCTCACCCAAAACTTCAACGAGATAAACAAAGCTAGTGTTGCCAACATTATTTCTGGCAACACATGTGTAATTGCCAGATTGTTCATAAAGTGCTTTATTCGAGACGATCACTTCACTGAAATCAGTGGAAAGCATGCTATCATCAAACAGTCTCAGTGGGAGGCCATCTTTGAACCAGTACACTTCAGGTACTGGGTTGCCATATGGATGGCAGTGCATTGAAAAGGACTGTCCCAATAGCACTTCCAAATTGACAGTGTTGCCTGTTGAATTACCGTTCTCGAATAGTGTATTGAATATTTTCGGTGGTACTGTAAAAATTGAATGAATATATTGTATTATATTCTTTAGTTAAATATAAATTCTATTTAAATTTACAGAAGAATTATAACAGTTCTAGTACTCGTTTATAGTATAGATTAAGCTTGTCCTGTACGTTTTAAGAGACCGATTTATAATTTTTATTAATAAGAAATATAACGATATTTTTAACGAACCCAAAACATCCAGCCTGAATTTCTTCTCGTCCATGCCACCTTCATTGATCACTACACATGAATAAATCCCAGATTGTACAGTTTGTACGTCATCTAATACTAAATCAGCATAACTAATGTTGTACTCATTCTCACTCAAGACATTTCCAGTCTTAATCCACTGTATTTTAGGTACAGGTTGACCTGACGCCTTACACGACATTCTGACACGAGTATCTTTCTGAAAACAAATAATTCATAATGGTATTATACCATAAAACGATGCTACTTGCCAAATTTCGGTTTTAAGTCATTCAATTTTGGTTCCCTTGAGGGTTTCAAAATACGCTTTTTTGTGGCATAAAGAGCCGTACTTTTTTTAACATTGATTTAGATACTCACTACCCGTAAGAGTTATAATGACACCTGAAGGCCTGTTCTATTTTTGATAATTCATAATGCAACAGTAGTAAAACTGACACTACCTCTGATGTAAAGATAATCTTCCTGATACTATTTGACCAAAATAACGAGAAAGGTTCGAAATTTTTGTTCGAATCCAAATAGAATAGGCTCTCAGATATCACGTTAATTCATAAGAGTTATTTTTTTTTTACAAGTTTCAAAGGGCTAGACCTGAGTATAAGGTTTCAATTTTACCTCTATATCCATATGTGTTCGCAAAATTAAGGTTAATTGCAGACAGATGGTTAGCAAAGACCTGTCCTATAATAATTCCGCTATTTTTCTTTTTGAGGTACAGAATCCTGAAAAAGGATTTACAGTCTAAACAATACTTACTTTAACTTCAGCTCTTGTAAGTACAGTCTGCCCCTCGCCTTGGCTGTATAGAACTATTTCTTGTATTCGAGCACCAGACACGATGGTCACATTGTATGTAAGCGTGGTTGTACCGGCCGAGTTTGAAGCGGAACAACGGAACAGACCACCAGCGTCAACAGACACATTGCGTGATATCAGAGTTGAACCTTCTATGTTCCATTCAGAGTTGCTATTGGTGGAAAAGTGTTAGACAAATAAATCTTCAAAAAGTACCCTTATAGCAGAATAATAGTTAAGGAATTGTAATAAAACAATATTAATAAATGAATATAAATATGTTTTTCATTTAGTTACTCTACATACTTTACTTAAAACAAACGAGTAGCCAATAACGCGGTAGAGCCGGGTGGTCCTCCATGGTTGCAGTTTCTTTTTACAAATAACCCTTTATCTCTTTATATAGATTTAAACTCACTTAAATGTCCACTTGATATCGGGCACTGGCAGTCCTTTGGCGTTACATTCTAAAGCAGCATCAGAATTTTCTTTTAGTTGCACTTCAAATAAGTCAAACTCCGATATGATTGGCGGCACTGAAAAATAATGCCACATGAATAAAATCTTTTAATTAAATTCTTCGACTATTTTATTTTTCATTTATTTTGAGTAGGTATTACATTATTTTTTAAATATTTGATTGAATTAATTTGAATTACAGAAACTAGATGGCTCAGTAGTTTAAGCGTTCAGACTGCGATATGGCTGTTAATCAATTTTCCCATGGATCGGTCATAGGATTGGTGACCAAAAAAATATAGTCTCGAAATTTTCCGTGCTTTGGAAGGCACGTTAAACCGTTGGTCTCGGCTGCATCGGCTGCCCTTAACTCCGACAACCTGACCAGTAAATGTCGGCTGCTGATGCAAAATATAAATATAAATTAAAAACTAAGCCAATATATCATTGTTAAGGAAGATGGTCAGATAATAAAATTTATAAGTTTTTATAAATGTAAATAAATTAATCGATTTTGGAAAAATAAATGTATATAGATAAAATATAAATATACAACCTCCCGCAATTAATTAGACTTACCCAGTACATTTAATACATATGTGTTAGAGATGGTCCCGTGGATGTTGGTGACGATGCATTGGTAATTGCCGGCGTGTTTCTCACCAACATTCAATATCTTTAGACGATCTCTGTCTTCAAACACCATCGGTTTCTTATTGAACAACCATTTTGTCTATGGTGAAAATTTATTAATTTAAACTTAAGTTATATTATAAATAAGATTTTTTTTATCTAATTTATATGAACACAAGCTGTTACCCAGTTACTTCGCCCGTGTAAATTATTATACATATTTATTTTCCTCTCGAATCACTCGTGAAATCGCATTAAAATCCGTTGTGTACATAATTTAGAAGATCTCAGCGTAAGACAGCGGGAAGTGACTTAGTTTTATACTATGTATTGAAGTCACGCGCGTATGATGTAGCTTACAGAAGGTGAAAGAATTTTTAAAATCATTTCAGTAATTTCGAGGCCTATGCAATGCAAACAAATATTTCTGCTTACATTAGTAAAACAATATAAATTTTGTTTTACTTTGTAGTTAAAATTAAGGTACGCTCGCCAAGTTACCAAAACAAGGTATGCTCGCCAAGTTACCAAAACGGGTCTAATCTCTACAGTTGATTTTATACTTTACACCCAAAAAATCAAGGGATCAAATCGAGAGGAGAAATAGAAAAGATTGGTATAACGTGACGAGTTGTTGATTATATAGTACAATAATTGCAATTTTTTATTTACCTTAGCTCTAGGCGACGCATCCGCTGCACAATCAAAGTACCAATCGTTTCCTTTGATAACATCCATTTGTATCGTATTATTTGTATGTAGTTGTAGACGTGGCGGCCATTGTACATCGACGAGGACTCTCGCTAACGCAGATCCTGCTACATTGTGTACTACACACATATACTCGGACGAATTCTGACGAGTTACATTCATTATTTGAAGGACACCAGTAGATACCATCTTAGCATCCTAGAATAATAATAATAATTTATTGAGCAATTTTATATACAAATAATTTACCTAATTACAAATCAGAATAATACATATAGTCAGAATAATAAATAGTTTCTATTAATAAATATCAGAACAGACAATTGAAGTCCTAAAATCTAAAAAAAAACAAAGTTCCACTCAAATCCAGCACCAAGACAATATATTTTTCTATGTTGACTCAGTTGGATACCTCAAGGCCTACAATGGACATTAACAGAGCAACGATAATGATACACAAAGTTGACAGCTAAATAAAATTTAAATTTAAAACGAAATCCGGACTTTATCATTTGCACTGTATTTAAACGAATTAAGCATATAATAGGGCTCTTCAAATATCCATAGCTGTATAACAGTTTCCAATGAATAAATAGTAGATGATTTAGAGACTAACAAATTACAACATCGAACCTTATACCATTTGACAATATCCTTTCGCGACGCATGCAAGGGGCATTCCACGCTCGCGTTCGTGCCTTCGACTACCACAATCTTAGTATGCGATTCTTCAGACTGCATATGAGTCGGGATAGCTGAAAATTAATAATAAATAAGTTGACTGGGCGTCCTTATTGATTATATAGCTATTTTAATATAGATAATATCTGATTTTGATGGTTAAACGGGAGGGGGACAACAACATATTTTTCCGCTTTAGGAATATCTTTAAATTTGAGGTTATCAATCTAACTCACAGTATATATCGACTGGTATTGTTTTGTTCGCTTCTCCTGCGGTATTCTTAGCGACACACGTGTACTGGCCGCTCAGTTCTTCAGATGGCGACTTAATAGTTAAAGTACCGTCATAATCAACGGCGAAGTTTGAATCTAAAACAAAATATAAAATACGTTACACTTGCCGTCTTCATAATTATTAAAAAAGTTTCCTTTTGTATTTTATATTGAAAATATATGTCAAGTACATGTGGATGATTCAAAAAAGTAAGTTTAAAAATAAGTTTATTTTGACTTAGTAAGAAAAAAAAATGTTGCATAGGGTCAATATTATTTTTTGAGCCAGGGATCCGTGAGCAAATCAAGTTCTTTCTATTGAGTTTTTTATAAACTGAACCGGGAATAGACACGACAAAATATATTACAAAACTAGAAGAGTTAATTTTTTAATAATAATAATAATATTTATTTCCCAAGATAACATTTACAAATTTGTGATATACTGGTACCCACACTAGGCAAGGCCTGGCCTGTGGGAACAGCAGAGTTCGATTTCAATTAAAAATGTTAACGGCACTTTACAGCGTGTAAATTAAAATAAAAGAAAATAAGCTATAAACAAACATCAAATCTTAATAATGTTACAATGAAAAGGTAAACGAAATAGGGCGCGTGTGCGTGTGTGTGTGGGTGTGGTATATGTGTGTGTGAGTGTTTGGGTGTGTGTCTCCGTGAGTCCATGTCAGAAGCATATTAGTAACCAGATACTTTGCTTTTCGAACGGCTTCAAGTCTAAAATCGCAGCGAGAGATAAGTTTATTATAAATATATGGGAATAGAAAATGGCCAAAACGTTGCGAAAAAGTTGTTTTTGTAAGAGGTATTGGAATTTTAAAGACGCGTTTTTTAAGCATTTCCTTATAGCATTCTGATGTTAATACTACTCTGTGCATATAAAATCTAAAAAGACTGATACATGTCTATTAGAATTTTTAAAATTGAATTGAAAAGATGTATAATTTTGATTCAGAGAAAAACACTTAAACAGTATTACCATTGTCTATATAGTAGCCTTCCCTGATCCAGGCTATAAAGGGTTTCGGTTTTCCGGTAGCGTTACAACTGATCACCACTTCCATATCTCTGTTTGTTGCTAAGAAACTCTTGTCATTTGGCTCTATAATCTTCGGTGGCTCTGAAAAATGACGATTTTGGAACTACATAATATATTTTAACCAAATTTTTGTGTCTTTTTTATTTAAAGGACAAGTTCAAGTTGTCACGGTTAACATAAGATATTGGTATCGATTTGGAACAGTGCATCATTTCATTAATGGTGTGCATTGAATCATAACCCAAATACTTGCCCGAAGTGGTTTGTGATACTTTGTGTCAAATCTCAAGCTCTATTTAACTCATATCAGGAATAGTAATATAAACACTACTAACCTGACGTAAACACAAATTAATGCATTACACCCAAAGAGGTAAAAGAAAAGAATTTTAGAATTGTTAGTAAATAAACATATGAACCTCCACACACCAGGACGAGCCGAATCGTCAGAATTCTAACTTTATTCATTTACTAGGTGTAAACAAAACCTCTTTCAGGCTTACCATGAACATTCAAATAAATAGTTTTCCTATCCTCTCCGGCCACATTGTTTGCTATACAGACGTATCTCCCTTCTTGATGTACACTGACATTGGTTATAAATAAGTTGCCGACGTCGTTAAATCTATTAAAAAAATAATTCATTTCATTTCATTCAACAAGTTTGATGGAGTTGATTAATGAAGTTTCTGGAAGTGTTAATTTTAACGGGGGCAAAAATGTCTTATATTGTCCACATTTTGTATAATAACGATATAAAATCTCCATAGTATTTTACTCATTGGTTCATTAGCTGCGAGTGTTCCAAATTTCAAATCGATCGTATAGTTTTTCTTTTAAATATTGACATTTCAAAAAGCATTCTTTTGTTTTTTCTGCAAAATGGATAAAATTGAGCTACGAGCTGTGATAAAGTTTTTGCATTTAAAAGGATTATAAGGTGGAGAGATTTTTTCGGAGATGAAGGATGTTTTGGTAGAAAATGCTCCTTCATATGCGACCATAAAAAATTGGGTGGTTAAATTTAAACGTGGCCGTACCAGCACCCAACATGAACATCGTCCAGGACGTCCAAAAAGTGCCACTACTACAGAAATTGTGATTAAAATTCATGATGCAGTTTTAGCTGACCGAAGATTGAAACTTTCCGAGATAGCTGTATACTGTAGGCATCTCTAAATAACGGGCGCATTACATTTTGACTCAAGAATTATGTATGAAAAAATTATCCGCAAGGTGGGTGCCGCGATTGCTTACAGTTGACCAAAAACGCGTTTCACAAGAATGTTTGGACCGCTTTAAGAGCAATACAGCTGATTTTCTGCGACGGTTTGTTACTAGAGACGAGACTTGGGTTCACTACTATATACCTGAATCAAAAATTCAGTATAAACAATGGACGGAAAGCAAAAGCAGTGAAATCAGCGGGGAAAGTCAAGGCGTCAGTATTTTGGGATTCGAAGGGTGTACTGATGATTGATTACCTTCCAAAAGGACAAAACATAAATGGCGATTATTATGCTGATCTACTGGATAAATTACAAGTGTGTATTCGCGAAAAAAGATCCGGCCTGGCTAAAAAAAATAATCTTTCATCAGGATAATGCGCGCGTTCACACGTGCATCACTGCGATGGCGAAATTTAAAGTATTACATTATGATTTGCTACCTTACCCAGCTTATTCTCCTGATCTGGCACCATCTGACTTTCATCTATTCCCTAAGCTCAAAATTTTTTTAGGTGGACAAAGATTTGAAAATAATAGCGAGGTGATGTCTGCCGTGGACAGTTATTTTGAAGGGCTTGAAGAAAACCACTTCAGGTATGGCATCAAGACTTTAGAGCATAGATGGATGAAGTGCATAGCGCTTCAAGGAGATTATGTCGAAAAATAAATATACTTTTAACACACTAATTCAAGTTTTTCTATGCTAGGCTAGCTATTTATCATCCCTACCTCGTATTATAGCTAGTGGAGCTGTTTTAGGTAAATAGTCTTTTAAAAATCTGTGTATAAAAATTTTACTGACTGAATGAAAATGACGGGCTAAAAATATAAAAGTTCGGCAAGGATGTTAAAATTCTAACTCTAAGGGGATTAAATATAATGTTATCCACATGAGCGAAGCCCCGGACGCAAAGTTAGTATTGAATGTATTTGATGCAAACCTTAAATTTGTTGTGTTTGCATCAAGCGAACTGTCTTGAAATTCCCATGTAACAAACGGTATCGGAAAACCCACGGCGTCGCATTGTAATGTAACGTTTTCTCCTATGCGGACAGTTTTTGACGTCTCCAAAGGTTTGACGGAAGGAGCCACTGAAAACAATCATAATAATTTAAGCAAAAGTTTTGTTACTGTAATTTGAGAGGCTTATTACAAGTACACTGTTAATGTTGTAATGGGAGGTCACTTCTTGCGCTTAGAAATTATTTTTATAAATGAAAAAAAGAGGGATTTGCCTCGTTAAGTAATTGTTCCCTTCAGTACAAAATACTCCATCGTCGATTGACCAACAGATGCCCAAATCTGTTGAATATTAACAGCCTAGACTGAATTGATTTGATTTCCTAGCACACCAAGCCGAGAGATCCAATTTTCTATCAATTTAAGATTAAGGCTCAGTCCGCATTGCGATTAAACGCAAATCTGAAACAGCAAATAATGTGACACACATCGCTTTCTGAACAAGCGCATACATTAGCCGACTGACAACGCAAACCGTAATGTATGCGGTTATTTTAGCTTTAGCTATACCTTTATCACGTGCGTTTAAACGCGGTGGCGGTCTTTGTATTTTATCGATATTGTAAGACCTTTTAACATTAAATAACTTGATAATTTATTATCTCCATGGTATATAGGTAGAAATATATAACTCATACCCCACACATACACGAAGTAAGAAACCGACGTGTTCCCGTAATCGTTCTCAACGAAACATGTATAGTTTCCAAAGTCTGTTAGGTTGGCAACAAATCTGAAACGAGAAAAGTATTACTGTCTTACACATTAAGCCATTGGTCCCGACAGGAAGTCGAGTACTGGCGGCATAAATAGGCTTATAATAATAATGAACACGACTTGTTATTAGTAAAATCGTTAAAAGAACGTACCTGATACCGGTTTCTTCGATATGTTTTCTTCCATTGATTAGAGTGCCATCTCTTCGCCACAACACCCTAGGGGAGGGAGTGCCACTCGCTGAACAAGGCAGATACACTAACTGCCCTTCCAACACTTGCACTTCCGGGTCAGTATCAGTAGGAACTATGCTTGGTGGTGCTAAAATGGACCAGTCTCTATTTTAATAGTTTTTCATTCAACAATGCCATAGAATTTATGGCATTGTGGAAAACGAGTTTTAAAACTACAGTTCATCAGGGATAATGCAATACCGCATAACTAACGCTTACAATTAAGAGCTAATTTTGAGTGAATTTATGTTATAATATTATTATACACTTAAAGTTAGATCTCAATCGAAATAGTAAATGATTGGCATGCCGTATTAGGTTGTCCCTGACAATTTGTAAACTCGTATTACTCATAATTTTAACTTACCCTTAACAGATAAGAGTACAATTATATAGTTCATCCAATAAAAAAAAAAATACGCACGTTAAATTTAATGTCATGAGTAAATACCAGTAGTGGAGTGAAACCTCAGAAACAATAATAAAATTATATGTCTAACAATCTTCAATCAACATAGTGAATACCTAAGAATTAGCTCAATAAATTGTATTAGGAACTGGATCGATGAATAATTACCGTAAACGAACACAGTGAAATTCTTCTGCGACGATCCCAAAGGACTTATAGCACTGCACGTATACAGCCCGGTATCATATACGCTCACTTTATCTATTACCAAGTCGTTTCCATTCGCAAGATATCTATAATAATAATAAAAAACACTTACTCTGTCTATACCCCTTCAATCTATTTTGTTGTGAAAAATTTAATAAAATAAACGGCCTATCTAACCAAGCATAATTTTGACAAAATATATAAGATACAAAAATTATATTCAGTCTTGCTTCAATAGTCAGACGGTGTGAAATATAACGTATTAGGTGTCGTACATCTCACATACGGCGGGGTGCATAATTCAAGTAACCCGAAAAATAATTCAAGTACTTGAATTATTTTCGGGCTTCGTAATTCAGGCTCTTAGTAATTTATCTTATTAAATGCTTTAATCGAAGATAATTAATGAATAAAATGGCAATCAATTCCAGATTTCAATTTCAACCTATTAAAATTTAATTTCAATTGCATAAATATGTCAATTTTTGATAGCCTGCTATGTTGTTTTCTAAACACGAATCGTTCAAACAACATTTTTAAAATCGTATAATTTATTTATTTTTGGCATAATAAACACAATTACATTTATGATCACAAATAAAGCGACTGAAACATAAGAAACATAAAATATATGTTGGATACGGATGTAGACAGTAAACGAAAATAAATACTTTTTTTTTCTGGTAGTGTTTTATATACAATTACCGATAATTTTTCATGCTTTTTATATTTATTATATTGTTTTAATTAATTATGAAAAAATGAATATTTTATGCCTGTTGTCAAGTGACCGCAAACAGCGAGTGACGTCACGTCCCTATTACTCATATCAGAACTTAGAGAATTCAACCTTATGCATAAATTGAACGATATTTGTGTCAGAATGCCGTGACGTCATAGAGACGTCATGACAAGTGGCGTCTTCGCGGGAAATTTTAAAACTAAATTTACTTTTAGATTTTGACTTCTTATATGAATGATATTTTTCTAAATCTATTTAATGTATATCTTTAAATTAAGTATTAAAGTAAAGTTTTCTACACCCCTATTGTAAAATTGAAGAATGTAGCAATTAGTAACACAGAATTAGTACATGCATGAGAAGCATGGGCGGCATTTCGGGAGGTGATAGTATCTTCGAAATCTTTAATTACTGCTGTATATAATATATTATTACTGTTATACAACTTAGTTTATTACTAAAAAATTAACAAATCACATGCGGTAAACCAAAACAGGATTCTTAAAAAAAATACACTGTATTTCATAGATTTAAGATTCCACATTAGCGTAAATTGTTTCAATAAAAAATGCATGCTTACACGTTACTGGTATAAGCCAATGGGCGTTGTTCCTTTGTCCAAACCACTATCGGTGGAGGTACACCAGTTGTTTTACACGATAATCGAAGGTTTTCTCCCACTCTCTTTTCTATCGGACCGTCTTGATGCGACAACTCGTCACTCGATCCTATCATTTGAGGAGGATCTAATAACCGATATAAATAATTGTATACATAACTTTATGTAAATGTTTATTACATTTTATCGTTAAACATTTTTAGTTAACACCTTGGAATATATTCTGTAATCTGATTTTTTGACTAACCAACGACAATATGGAACAAAAGTAAAGAAACTAATTTCTGATTAATCTGCCACAAGTTTGCAAGGTACACCAACTAACAACACTCGAGACATTATATTCTGGTCATGCCACCATTTGTTACTGTGTACACATATACTATTTAAATTATGCGGTTAAATTCGTAAACATGAAATATACCGATATTTCATGTTTACGAATTTAACCGATCAAGAAACCAATGT